GACTACTTATTGCCGCCCACGGGCCGCCTGTATTTTGCCGCCCTTTCTCATTCGTTTTGAAACATCGATAGAAACCATCAAGTGAACGTGCCGGAGGAGGAGCGGTGCAAAAGACGCGTTTACTCGTCTTGGGCATATTTTTGTGAAAGCCTTGTCAACACTGGCAAAAGTTCACGGAACTTTGCGCGAAAATTAAGCTCCGCACTGTGTTTGGCGCGATGCGTGGCGTATCCCTACAGTCTTGTAGGCGCTATGCTTTTCACGCCGCCCGCTGCTGACCGCACTACGTTTGACGCAATGCGTGAAGTATTCATGGAGTCTTGTAGGCGCTACTACGTGTTTCATGCTGACCGGCGCGCCGAGGGCTCCTTCTTTCCATCTCAAGTCCGCGTCATCATTGCTTTCTGCGCCGCGCCGCGCCGCTCCAGGCCAAATTGCGTGTTTGGTTTCTCTCTCGACTATACTAATGAAAGGCGCTGTCTCTTGAATTACCGATAGACGAACAAATTAGAAATTACTCTACTGTAACTCTCAGGAAATGAGAGATTTTTTTCGCCTTTTCTCGTTTGTAAATTTTTTTTCTGAATCAGATTTTTTTTTCTTGATACCTACATTCGCAAAATAATTAACTTTTGCCGCCCCCTTTTGCCACATGGGCCGCCGCGGCCCATGTGGCCACCCCCTAAAGCCGGCCCTAGAAATATTGATAATTTTTTCCGCCTGCAGCCTGATTGTTGAAACTTTAAGTAGCTATGTCGGCAAGATAAGACAAGACATATCCCTATCTGCGCCGCGTAATAAATCAATTTTCGATTCTTGCCGTGCCGACATAAAATTCAACAATCAGGCTGCTGCGCTGATTATTCGGTTAGTAAGAGGTCCCAAGCATCATCGACTGTTTCTTATCAAATACCAAATTAATTTATTTGGATAATTCTCGTCTTAAGTCATTGGTGCACAACTGATTCGGTCGGTTGGGATAATCATGCTCCACCTCGACGGCAAAACTACTTCATTTCCATTTTAGCAAGTTCAATTATCCTCGTAGCTCTCGGTAATGAATAAGAGATTATTCATATTGAGATTAACCTGACTGCCAGAAATCAAATGCAAATGATTTCAATGCAACAAACTGTAACACTGCATTGCCGACTTTAAGGGGGGCCAAACATCTTGGCGTGATGTTCCTCCCAAGTTTTAAGGATTTTTACTTCCAACATGGCGAATCTGAGGCGTGAATTAGCGCCAGCGCACGCTACACGTTTGCCCGCGATGACAATGCACATTTTATAAACCTGATTTTTTGCCTTAAATTACCTAAATTTGTTNTTTTTTTTTTTTTTTTTTTTTTTTTTTTTTTTTTTTTTTTTTTTTTTTTTTTTTTTTTTTTTTTTTTTTTACAATTTTCTACTTAAAAATTCTCTCGCCGTTAATTCTATCTTCGGATCTTTTCGTTGTTATGTGCATTCTCTAAGTTGTGTATACAACAATGGTCATCGTGTCATAAGCAATGAGCCAAAAAGCGAAGTGAGAGGCCACAACTGAAAATCATTTTGCTATATCCTATTTCTCATTTTTCTATTTCTTATTTTTCGACCACCCTCTCCCCTTCTTCGCTTCAATCTTTCTGTTTTCCCACGATTTTACCAATTTTCACCCTCCCTTTTTCATTCTCCTTAATAAGTCCCCACTTATTGTTATTCTTTCATATACCTCATATTTTTATCGTCCCCTGGGTATTAATTATTTACCACTTTTTTTTTGTTCCTTTCATTTTCTATTATTTTTATTCTTAAGTTACATCTAATTCTCCTTAATTTTTACAGCAAACATTGTTTTGGCATTTGATTTGGCATTTGATCAGAACTATAAACTGAATTTATATAACCATACCTGTTTAAAATTCATCTTTTCTTCTTTTTTTGCAACAAATTATCACTTGAGGCATACTTCTTTAAAAAAAAAAAAAAAAAAAAAAAAAAAAAAAAAAAAAAAAAAAAAANAAAAAAAAAAAAAAAAAAAAAAAAAATTCACGCTCCCCTTTTCCTGAAACAAAATCCGTAGAGTTATGATTATGACAGCTCTTGACATTCCATTCCATTGCATCAATCCATTTATTTGAATATTTTTGTATGCATCTGCCTTTTTTCTGGAAAACTCATTCTCCGAATTTACACATTTTCTTTCTTTGAGCTCAGTTATTTCTTCTTCCTGGAATTAGCCTGTTATTTATGCTACACTCTAATTACTCAAAATGCCCTTTTGAAAGAGCAAAATTACTTTTAATCCCATGCACCCTTATTTCCCACACTCAAGCAATTCATCCGTTACAATTCAACCGAGTTCACAAAAAAGGGAACAATAGTAACATCAAGATTGAAGAGGGAAAAAATTGTTTGAAATTTTATTCCTCGACGAGACTCATTGTCAAATATATGAAATTAACGCCTATTTTAATATTTAAAATATTACTACTGTCTTGGAATTTTCGTCAGGAGAAATTAGGCTCAAATTACTCCTGACTCATATAATCCTTCAAAAATATGACTTGGTTCATTCCTGTTAAATTTGGTCCAATTAGTGCATGATACCAACGAATACAGCGTCTGCCAGCGTGTGATCCTTAATAATATTCTCCGAAGAGTATATCGATGGCTAAAATTAAAAATTGCATACCTGAATTGCAATCTTTGAAATTTGTTTTTTACATTTTCTTAGAATGTATTTAAAAGAGCAAGGAAAATTCACAGACAGCTCTTTAAGAAAGCTGTTGGTTGTTTTTTTTTTTTTTTTTTTTTTTTTTTTTTTTTCTTTTAGAGTCGTTGAACAGATTCGTTCGGGCCCGGAAAATTCTAGACTACCTATTTAGTTACCCTCCTTGGCATATACCAACCCTAGTTGTAAGCTACGGTTTTTTTAGACAAAAGTAAAGTTAATCAAGGTTTTCCAATTGAACAATATTTGTAGCACAGCCATGTATTGCACGAGCACGAAAAAAATAGAAATCGCACTCTTTTATTTTACGGTGACTCTAAAGTTAATCCATTGTGTAAATGCTACTCATTTATTGGCGATCAAATACTTCTTTTTCTTTTAAAAAAAAGTCTGAGATTGCTCATAACGTTCATCGACGTACGTGGAATTCTGCATTTGGACCACCAAGCAATATACGTGGTTTACCTCTCCTTTTCCTTGACTTAAAATTTTTTTGCGTTCATTCATAGACTTTTTCCTCTTGCATTGTATGGTCAATTGATACCGCTAGCAAGTAAAACAAGAAGAAAAGTAAGCAAATGAAATAAATCTAAATGTTTAAATCATGAAAACAATGATTACAACAACAATCCAACAAGGGTCTAACAATCCCTTAGGACTAGTGGGGTCTTATGATAAAGTCTTTTTTTATCCCTATTATGTAATTAAGGATCTTTTTGGATTAATCTTTTTTATGATTATATTTTTATTTTTAATCTGTTTTTTTCCCTTGATTTTGGTTGGTTCCATTTTAAGGTGTCTAATAAAGAAAGGAAATTAAGTGAGACCTTGAATAAATTACCTTTTTAAAACTTTAAAATGGTGACGAACTCTGATCTGTCTCATGTTAGACATTTTAGAGACAATTGCGTTTCCCCCTCTTTTTCAATTCTGGGAATAAATTAATTTTTCCCTAGTGCTTTTTGTTCAGTGATAGTCCCTCTCTGCACTGTACAGTTGTTTTCTTTCACAATCGACTTAAACTAAAGACATTTGTAGGACCAACTTTTTAGCCGTCGATCAGTATGTAGACATGCTTCAGTTCCATTAAAATTTCCACATTTTTCCCCTCATGCTGTATGTAAGGCGGCGGTAACATGTTTACAATTATCCTGATATCTCAACTGCCGCAGCATCGATCGTAGCTCCTAAATGCAACTATTCGTGCTCTGTTGCTGCCTAAGTTGCCTACACGTTGGATTGAAGGCGTTTTGGTTTTTTCCGCCTTCACAGTTATTCCTCGCCGCGGAATAACGGCTCCAAAAATTTAAACTGTTTCTATGGTTAAAGCTTGTCTTACACGTAGCTTTGACAAGCTTCGACAGGAATATATAATGAAACAACCGAGTTTATTTTTCGTCTTAACGTGAGCTTAAACTTGCTCATGAATGAGCATAAAATGAGCTCATGAATCTTAAAATTTTCATTTACCTTTCTTGATTAAATCATTTAATGTATTTTGAAATCACAAAGGTGATCACCAAGTGCCTTTGATCTTACAAATAATTCAATCCGACCAAACCTCAACGAATTAAGTGTAGGGATTTACCGTACATTGTTCTCGGCAGTAACTTTTTCCTTCTAAATTTAAGAGAAAGTCATCTCGGTGGTAAATTCGAAGATATTCAAGGGACTTGGAGGACCAGGCACATAAGTGGATTTTTTCAAAAAAGAAAAATGAGTAATATGATTTCAAGTAAAATTAGTCTTAATGCATATCCTGTGAAAAATTGTCTCCGAAATTCCAATTTTTTAGCATCAAAAAGTTAGTTTGAACTTTCTGCCATAAAGAGCCATGTAATGCCAAAACTTTAAATAGGTATTTTTCAAAAAAGCAAGAACTGCACTCATGCATCCTGTTCTCCAAGCCCCTCATTTCTGCTGGAATCAAGTCACTTTTTTCAGCACATACGAAGGGCTTGAAACATCTTGGTTGTGTTTCTGCCTACCTTTCGTTTCTTCAAACCCCATTTTAAGTGTATTTTCTCGTACTTTAATCGGTCGTGATATCCTTTTATGTCGCGACGACGCGACGCGGCGCGACGCTTCGACAAGTTTGACAACCATTGAATTCCACAGAGGACGACAAACAGTGATCACCTTGGGTGCATAACTTTGGCCCGCTTTTTTGGTGCGCAACTGTAACTCTCCAATCTCCATGTTCTCGGGAACGTGAGCAATATTTGCGCGTGGATGTGATGCAATTGCACCGGCCCAACATTCAACGTGCTCCTTGTTTGTTTCAGATGCTGGTCCCGGCCAAGTTCCAGTACGCGCTGCTGGGCGGCCTCAAAGTTCTCACAGCCCTCGTCTGGCCCATCACAAAAGTTATCAGCTACACCACCTCACAGAAGAAGTTACCACCCTTAAAAAATGAGCTCCTCCTGCTCAGTGCCAAAGAGCTCGCCCGGCTCATCAGGACCAAAAAGGTAAGATCCTCTTGCTTCTGCGGGCTCTTAATTATAGAAACTGATAGACGTACCGATAGATAAAAAAACATTGGGAGTATGGAGCGATCTTATTCGTCGAAACGGGTGGTTGAAATAGGCATAAAATAAGCATGGTTGCGTGGAAATAAGACGAATAATGAGACCCACAGTTCCATCATCTACCATCAAATTTTTGCAGGCCGCAAAAATTTGATGGTAGATGGTGCGCACCAGTCACCATTTGATCGGATTGATGGAAATTTGAGCGTGTATCCAGGCCTTTACATCGCCGCATCTGTGACGTAAGGACGTATCTCGTCTTCCGTATGAGCCCCAGGAAATATGGATTTACATTTAAAACAGGGCCCACGGGGAAATCGAGGTACGGCCTTACGTCAGAGGGGCGACAGTAACTTGCGGCGTAGCTGGATGCACCGTTGCGTAGAGTCACTCGTCAATTTCTGACGTGCGGGAGTTCGTTCGAAAAGAGAGAACTTTTGTTACCAAGGTAACGGAATGTCAACAATCCTGACCTCGGCGAACCGGGGAATACTGGAGCAGTCGTGGCAGAGTTGGCGATTCGAACCCAAATCCTTCGCAGAGAACGTGTTACTCTCTTCTGTTTCGGACGTCGTTTGACGTTCTTTTTAATCGATGGGACGAAGTCTAGCATTAAATCATTGAGCGGTATCAATTATTACTGACTAACTACCCTCCATCCCTGAAAGAAGTTCCTTAATAATCAGAAAACTATAAAAATTTAGAATTTTGTTTTCGATCCTTCCGATTGGCTTGGGAAATGAGAAAACTCAGTTCGGTATTGAGATGTCTTTTTTGTAGCTCTCTTTTGTGAAAGAGTGAGGTAGTTTCATTCTGCTAAAAACCTAAAAATGAAGACAGATAATGAGCTCAGGTTGACACTGAAGGAGCTCTGATCCTCTCATAGTGGAAAATCACACCATAATGAAGACCATCGTTTCAAGGATAAAGAATGGGTGTGAGAATAATGGCTCACAAACTAGGTTCAATTTTATCATGGCAAAGTCTCGCAATGCACTGGGAGCAATTTATTAAAGTGTAAGTACATGCAGCTGCTGATGAAACAAATTATTTATGGTGACATCTATTTTATAATGGGGTGGCAATATTTGGTTTTTTGTTTCTTTTTTTAACCAGCAATGAGACGGAGGCTACTCATAATGAATTACTACAGCAACTACAGAAAATGACTTTTTAAAGGTTTTTGTTTCGTTTTTTATTTATAAGTTAAAAAATGAAGAACCAAGAAAATCAGCTGAAAACACCAAAAAAATGAGGTCAAGTAAGCTCCCAGGGACAACAAATCTATATTGAAGTAGATTGAAACTCTACTGAACGAAGAAGAGTGAGGTTGTTCACCTCAGTCGTAAGAGTAAATTGTAAAAAATAAGGCCGTTTGCCAGAAAATGACCATAAAAATGAAAGCATTGATGCCAAGTCTTCGGATTCTCCTCAATATAACCCGTGTCCTTTCTCTGCATTGCTGGCGAAATGTCAATAAACGGGAATGGATTCAAACATTTTTTGAATTTTTTCGTAATTCTCGCAATCCTTCGTTAGCGACTCGCGAAACTGGTTCAGAGATGTTACACGCATTCGCTTTGATATCTCTCTGTTTGTGTAGTCTGCCACAACCGCTAAAATTGGAAAGAAATGTCGTTTCATCCGTAAAAATTTTCCAAATGAGCGAGAGCCGAATTGGTCAGTTTTTGTATACTCGCTTACTTTGAGGCTGTTGTGTGTTAAGTTTGTGAAGCCTAATTCTGGGTCCACCATTTCAAGCTCCCAAAGAATACTGTCTACTCTGACACTGACAATGAGAACGAAAGCACTTAAAACTTAAATTGTATTTTGTTCCGAACCAATAAACAACTCAAATAAACATCCATTCCCAGTCCTTAGAACAATCCCTTCTCCTCTAATATTTATCCACCTCACCCTTATTGTTAGACACTATTAGTCCGGCCTTCATCTCATTTCCGCTATTTCGCTACTCTCATTCATTCCCAAGTATTGATAATTCAGCAGCTCACCTTCTTGCGCACCTTTAATTTCCACATCTGGATGACTTTACTTCGACTTTTTCGCGGCGCAGTTTTGGTCATTGCGTTCAAACTACTATATGCTATTCCGGTTTCAAGTTAAAACACCTTCGTCAGTTTACGAAACGATTTATCATTGATACACGAAAAACAATATTGCTATTAAGCAGCTCATCATCGAATATTCTTTGGAGACGACCGCCCTGTATTCATGTTGCCTCAGCCTGAGAGAGATTTTTGTTACAACAACCAGAATTCACCCGAAACAACAAAAATGGGTCGGTAGCGCTAATTTTTTTTTTTATATTACGGAGTGAATTAAGCTTCTAGAAATTTTCGCAGATTTTCTTTAACCCTAAATTGCCAAGAAATTCTGTTTTGAAAATGACGAGAGTGGGACCCGTTGGAAACGATATTTTTGGCGGGCTCTGATGACGTAGCGAGGTGGGGGGACGTTTCGATGTTCACAGATTGGCTGAAATCAGCTTCAGGCGTCACGTGGCTACGGTTACGTCTTCTCGCCTGATTGGCTGGATCTTGATTTGCTTCTTTTCCCCTCAGAAATGATTTTTTAAACTTTTCAATAAGCCTTTTGGTTATCTCGCGAAATTGTAAGTGTAAAAAATTAAAATATAATCCTACACTGGAAAAAAAAAACACACTGGATCTAGAGTCCAGACTCTTAAAAACATCGACAAGAAAAAATACTCTTGATTCAATCGGATTTTTTCTTAAATCAAGAAAGCCTCTTAATTTGAGCGGATTTCCTTTTGATTTTAGCAAAAATCTAATTGCATCAAGAGTATTTTTTTTTGTCAATGTTTGCAAGAGTCTGGACTCTAGATCCAATGTGTTTTTTTCCAGTGTACAAAAATTCCTTCCCATCCCGGCTGTTTAAGAAAAGAAAAACTCAATAAAGAACTAATTATCAAGACGTTCGTAATACTACCGAGCTAAGGAAAAACGCCGTATGAACCTTCAGGCGTTGCCAAATTTCCTTTGATAAAATGTGAATTTCCTTGTGAACTTAAGAATATTTTCCTCCCAATTTTTTATAATCTTAGATAATTTTTTTCGCGATTAAAGCCTAGAGATTCTGAAAATTTAAAGGAAAAATATTCATAACTATCCTCAAGAACAAGAATTTTATCGAGGGAAATCTGGCAACTCTCAAATGTTCGCACGGCGTCCTTCCTTAACACGGCAGAATAGCCCTGTGGAATTTTTTCCTTACAATGAACATTAAAGAGCTTCATTTTAGATAAACTTTCTATCCGTTCAGTAAAGTTAAAAAAGGCCAAAGACCTAGCTGCGGTGAATGTACTCCATTAGTTGATGAGTAAAACCTATAGTTTTGGAATCATAGCGGGAGGCGAGGTGTTTTTTTTTCTTTCCCCAACGGGGTAGCTTCACCTCAGCAAGGTCGTATTGACTTGATTGTTGTTGATTCGCCTACACAGTGTAAAGCTGTTATCTTATCAAATCTTTCGTGAAAGCGTAGCGTATATTTGTTTGCATTTCAAGCTTGAGCGATCATGCACCCGGAAAACTGGCTATTTGAATTCCATTAATTCCCTTTGATTTTTGCTGCCACTAGATATACAAGAATCGCCCAGCCTTCCACTTTCCTTTCCTAGTTTTTCTATTTCTATTTTTGGCCTGAATTTCCACGACAATTCCTCTGAAACTTCTTGGTCGGTTCAGAATGTTTTTTCCGGTTTTCTCAACATACCGGCGCACCTGTAGAGCGTGCTGCATATAAATCGAGTCATTATCGAAGAATCGTGACAATTCGGCTCGGCCGATCGGCTTGTTGATATTCACGTGGAAAACGAGAGGTTGTCGCGCTGTGCTCTGCTCTTAGCAGTATACACTACCTATACAGGTGCCCTGCAAGAGCGTAAAAATGGGTCGAAATGAGGTTTGGATAGCTCGGTCAGTAGAACACTCGGCCCGTTATCAGGTGGTCCCGCGTTCAAATCCCCGTCAGGTCGGTAAAATTTGAAAGGTCGGATGGGACGATTCTGGAGTAAGGGGAGTGAGGGAAGTAGAGAACAAATAAATTTTCATATAAATCGTGCAATTCATATAAAGTGACATTTTTTTTGCAATTTAAATTTCTTCCGAATACTGTGACAAGACAAGTTTTGTTCCCAGAACTAGACAATTTTGTTACCGTGATTAGACTTTTGACTTATGCAACACGGAAGTATTGTTCTCTGAACAAGACTGTAAGGGTCCTATGAACTCTAGAATACCTTGTGGATCAAATATAACAAGACGGTCTTGTCTGGGAGACTAGAATCCTTCTTTCTCAGACAAGACACTTTTTTTAGTGTGGACTCTCAGGATAGCGTGGGATATCCCCTCTATTTTGGCCTCAACTTGAGAGCTTTTTTTGAGCTCGGGAGTTGATTTCAAAGAAAACCAGTGGCACCATCGTGTTTCTTGCAAACTTTTACATAAGAAACGATAGTCAAATCGCAAATTCCTCACTCATGCAACACCTCCAATTAGAGACCCAAGAGCTGTAAAAATGGCAACAGCGATAAAGCCAGAAGCTGTGATACATGGCCGAGTCGAATCAACGTGAACATAGGTGGCCGTTCTCTGTGCAGTGCGTTCACTCTTCCTCTTGTTTCACCTGCGCTGACCTCTCCTCCATCCTTAATTCCAGTCATCATTCCTCTGGGTGTTTCTGGTCCGCGTTTAATTAGCCGCCTTTCTAGACGTTCAAGGTCCGCGCCTGAACTTCACCGGGACAATCATTCGTCTTCATTGCGGGTACGGGACGTGAGCAGATCGCTTCCTTACGGAAATACTTCGCGCGGGTATAATTTTACCGGTCGAGCCCTCTCGCAGAGGAGGAAAAATGACGAAAATTGGCAGGGAAAAGGAGTGCAATGAATTTCAAACTCGCTGCCGTACGTTCCGTATTTGAAATATGTAATGGAGAATTTGCAGCCGTCGAGTAATTGGACGTAATTTTACTGAACGGAACTATACTGCCGTGCTAAGGAAGAACGCCGTATGAGCCTTCAGACGTTGCTAAATTTCCTTCGATAAAAACCGAATTTACTGAGAAAATCGTGAGTATTTTTTTTTCGAAATTTACAGACAATTTTGTACGGAATTTAATCTAAAATATCTGAAAATTTCAAGGAAAAGTTTGCATAAATTTTGTGCAAAATACGTGTTTTATCGAGGGAATTTTGACAACTCTCGAATGTTCATACGGCGTTCTTCCTTAGCACAGCAGTATAGACGAGTGGCAAAGATGGGATGTGTTTGTGCAAGCTGCAGAAAAAGCAATGTTTAAAAGAGGGCGTGATTCCTTTTGGCAAAATGGAAAAGTAAGATTTTACAAGAAATTAAAAGGAACTAAGCCCAAAATATAGTATTTTATGAGCAAGGGGCACGTGACAAGTGCGTTGTGGAAAGGGCTCATGAGTTTAAGACTCAGATCTGCGGCTTATCGTATCTATTGTTGCCGCTGACGTCACTAGCGCTTTATAATTCCCATTCATTCTTACGGCCTTCTAATAACCAGCACACTCCTTCTTTTTCACCCGTCTCCGGTTCTTTTTAGCATAAATACGTCCAATTGGTACTTCATGCACTGTAGGAGTTAGTAGAATTTAAAGGAGTTTAAACGAAAGATAGAGGGTTCCTTAAGGAAACCTTCATGGACTATTGGCGTAGATCTTCCGGAGTGTCGAGGAAGGATCACGTTCGGAATGACAGGGTACGTGAAATTAAGGGCGTCAAAAACAACATAGTGCATGATTTCTTGAAACCGTCATTGGCGGATCCAGCAATTTGGCAACACCGGATTTCGTCCATTTAAACCCATGGAAATGTATCGATTCTTAGAGGGCTAGGTGCTCCGACAAGAATCGATTACTTAGCACAGGTTTAAATGGACGAAATCCGGTGTTGCCAAATTGCTGGATCCGCCTCTGGAAACTGCTTGTTTGGTATGGGCATGTGTAAAGAATGCTAGATAATAGGTTGCCGAAGGAGGTTCTGGATTGGGTCCCTCCTCGTAGATAGCGTAGAGGACGCCCTGCCAAATCGTGGATTGAGAGGGTAAGGCAGGATCGCTATCGGTAGCGGTTGGGTGTCACAGAGCGCACAGAGGCGCATAAAAGGGACTTTTAGTAGTAGTAGCAAACTGAATAGCCGTATTGTTGCAGGTCAAGAGTGAGGAGGTGCTGAAAGCTTACATCACCCGAGCGCAGGAGATCAACCCAGTTCTGAACTTCATGGTGGAGGACCGGTTCGTGTTGGCTTTGGAGGAGGCGCGGGCCGCGGACACTCTGATCGCCAGCGGCGCTAAGACAGAAGCCGAGCTGGAAGCCGAGTTACCACTCCTCGGGGTCCCTCTTTCCGTCAAAGAGAGCATCTCTGTCAAAGGTATTTCAACCAAATATATCACATTTTCATACTTTAAAATTCGAATAATTAATTTAAATAATTATTCAAATAAATACTCAAAAGAGTAACGCGTAATGCATGACACCTGAGGCGCCAAACGCCAGGAGGGGAGGGTGGAACTCGAAGTAGCGGTCAGGGGGTGTAGCCTCCTATTGTCGTGGCACACTGAGAAAAAAAACTTCAGTCATATAAATCGAATATACGGTGTTCATTATCGGCCATATTTTTCGGTTCATACGGCTGCCCTTTCGGTCCCGGGTAAAGTATCTTCGGTTCATGTAACAGAGCTTTTTCAATGGTTCCGTTGGTTCGTTCGGTTAAAATGCTCGGTTGCAAGAACCGAAGATACGGTTCCCGGGACCGAGAGAGCAGTCGCATGAACCGAAAAATATGGCCGATATCAAACACCGTGTATTCGGTTCATATGACCGAAGTTTTTTTTCTCAAAGTATAATCGCAGATAAGACTGGTACGTCCGAAGATGTTAATATCCGTGGATGGATGAATCAGCGTCATTTTAAAAAGAGGGGCGGTAGGATGGGTGGTAGATCCGAGGCTGAGCTAGTGACAACTCTTGAAAGATGGCGACATTCATTGATTCCTTTGAAAATTTCAGGAATTTGCCACGTACTTCGCAGGAAATTCACTGAAATTTGCAAAAGCAATCCGCACACAGTCATTTTTATAAGAAAAATTAAAATGCCCAGTTAAATTTGGCAATAGCTGATTTGGATTGGTTCATTTCTGCTCAACGTGGTTCATTTGCAACTGGCCCATTCTATTATAAGCGCGTAAGTTCAAAGAAGATCGGAGAACGGGAAAAAACCGAGAATTCAAAGCTCTCAATTGTGCGCAGCTAGTTAATTTTGTAACACACCTCAAGCTAATGATCATAGATGGAAATTTTTGAGCTTATAGGAGTTTATTCTGATTTTTAATTGTCATTGCATCCTTTGAAATAAATTCATATTCAGAACAGTGTCATGAATTTGCCGAAGATGATATTCATGTAATGATGAAACTCGGTTCAGATTAATGTTCCGCCTTACTTCGCAAGAGACGGAGAAAAAGCACAATGGCGGTCTCAAAGTAAAACAAAAAAACTAGGCCGAAAATTTTCACAATATGCGTTATTCATGAGCAAAAGCAATGCGATGAATACATCGTGCATGATATTTAACTCGAAGAGTCAAGGGAACGCACAGCCAGCGCGAACACATGTTCAGGTCCGTCTGCTTGCCATCCAAAAGTTCATCGTAGTTTGATGAGCGTAGTGTATAAAAAACACCGTCCTCGGTGTGACAAAGGAAGATGGCGGACTCTCAGAATACACAGACTAGGGCGTTTTAAATGTCTGCTGTTGTCCATTTTGTATCAATGCTTATTCATCAACTGCTTACGTGTGTAATGAATTTAAAAAAAGCTCATTTAAAACTGTCGAAGAAAAAACGAGCTGCTCCTTAGGAGAAGTGTTTCTGATTAAATTGGTTCAAACGAGATTCTGCCAGTTCAAACCGAGACTAACATGACAAATCACATTACAATTAAATACTTTCGAATGGATTATCATTTAATTCGCGACTTGAGCTAATTGACTCTATACGAGTATTTATACCTAACTTGATTCGAAAAATTGAAGACGGGGCAGCATCATCAATCATCACTTAATATATACATTTTTTTTCTGCAGGGAGAAATGTGCCTGATTTTTCCTACCAGGACATGATTACCTCCTCATTCATTATCCGTCGGTTTATGCTCTTTGTTGACAATCGAATTACTTTGATCCTCGATATCCTAAAACCTATACTCTTAAAATATTATTTGATTATTCATTTTCTATGCAAAAGCATATGTCCTTGCCAGGAAAAGAATCACCAAAAAACATGAACTACCCTCTAAAGCGTGCCCAGTTAAAGGGAGGGTCCAGTAATTTTGACTCCCCTCCTGGACTGGAAAATTTTCCCTACTCCCCCATAAGGCATGTTAACCGCTCCTTTTGTATGAAAAATGTCTGGCTACGGTACGGACTGACCTACGAACGATTCTTTCGCCTAAGACAAAGTGTGTCAACCGCACAAAAGCTGATGAAAAATTGCGTAAAATGGAGGCCAATAATTCAATCTGAACGGAACATTTTTTAGTTAATGCGGACATATATGCACGAATATGCACACCCTCGTATTTCAACTCGGACTATCGTTATGAATTGTAGTAAACAAGCATCAAAGTAAATAATTCAATCAAAGCGTTCGTTGATAAAAGAGATAAATAACTTTCTTCTCCTGGCTTTTTGCAAATGTAAACATTCTAGAGAATTATGGAGGGAATTTACGTTTACATATCTCTATTTCTTGTGTTCGGGCATCGTAAAACATGAATACAGTGCACGAGGAAAAGTTTCGGGGGCTTCAACTCATTCATGATAGTGGGGCCGATAAGCATAACAATCGTGCACTTCTGGAAGAAAGCATGAAAATTTCAGGGATTCATCTCTACCCTATAGACATTCGATTCAGACATAGACCCCAAAAATCTGAGCCCCCTGAGGGGGCAGGGGGGCCCCCAAATTTTGAATTTTGAATAACTACTGAACGGCTAATGTTATCGTAATTTTTTTTAAGCAGGACGATAGGAAATTTTATCAGGAACAAAAATGGTTCCTATGAATTTTTCTGTGGGATCAATATTTAAGGCGTGAAACGGGAAAAACCATCGGGGGACGGGGAGCCGGCCGTTCTGAGNATATGCACGAATATGCACACCCTCGTATTTCAACTCGGACTATCGTTATGAATTGTAGTAAACAAGCATCAAAGTAAATAATTCAATCAAAGCGTTCGTTGATAAAAGAGATAAATAACTTTCTTCTCCTGGCTTTTTGCAAATGTAAACATTCTAGAGAATTATGGAGGAAATTTACGTTTACATATCTCTATTTCTTGTGTTCGGGCATCGTAAAACATGAATACAGTGCACGAGGAAAAGTTTCGGGGGCTTCAACTCATTCATGAGCCCGAATACGAGGAGACTTATTACGCATTACTCATCCGTGAATGATCGATTATCGATATTTCTCCATTTGAAGCTATGGTAAAGAATCGATTATTTTCGTGTTTGTTGCGAACGCCCTGTTTATCGATCCTTTTCCATGGGTATAAATGATAGATCAATCGATATATCGCCACTGCTTTGCAGGAGCTCTTCCCCGCAACGAATTTCATGAATAATCAATACAATCCACAGCTCGATCATCACTTAACATCGTTAATTCATTCACAGTATCAGTGTGTCAAGAACATCGATTTTTACTCTCAAAATAACACGATGATTTAAATGAGAGAGCACGGCCGCGGACCGTCTACCCACGCCGTCAAAATACTCCACCGCGCTTTCGGTGCACCGATCGCATCGGCGCTAAAAGTATAGCACTATGCACAGGGTGTTCCCATTATTATTTCCTAGAGCATGAACAACGCATTCAAATTCAAAGTAATCAAAAGCGAGCTTTTTTCGCGTTTAAATTTTACTGGAAAAAAGAAGAAAAAAAACACATTGGATCTAGAGTCCAGACTCTTAAAAACATCGACAAAAAAAAAAAAAAAAAAAAAAAAAAAAAAAAAAAAANAAAAAAAAAAAAAAAATACTCCTGATTCAATCAGATAAATCGAAAACCAAGCCTCTTAATTTGAGCTGATTTTCTTTTGATTTAAGCTTAAATCTGATTGAATCAAAAGTCATTTTTCTTGTCGATGTTTTCAAGAGTCTGGACTAGAGATCCAATGGATTTTTTTTTTTTTNTTTTTTTTTTTTTGTTTTTTTTTTTTGTTCAATGCACCATAGGACTGGGAAAAAGGTTTTGAAAAAACGGAACCAACGCAACATGGAAATAGAGCGAGGGAAATGACGCGCATTGATAACGGCGCAGAGATACAACTATTCGTACTTGATGGATGTCCGTGTTGCGTCTCCAAAATTGAAGGCGCGATGCGAGACGTGGACACTCGCAATGCTCCGCTCTAAGCTGCCAATGAGGTGTTGCTCAGATTCGGGAGAGAAGTTAAAAAATGACGCCCGAATACGTTTCTCTTATCTTGTGCTGTGTTACTTACGGAGCCCTGAAGCACCACTACAAATGAGACCAGCGAACACAAACACAATAAGGGAGTATAGAGCAAGGGAAAGGACGCGCATTGATGACGGCGCAGAGATACAACTATTCGTACTTGATGGATGTCTGTGTTGCATCTCCAGAATTGAAGGCGTGATGGCGTGAGGCGTGAACTCGCAATGTTCCGCTCTAAGCTGTTAATGAGGTCTCGCTCAGATTCAAGAGAGAAGTTAACAAACAAGGCCCGAATACGTCTCTTTTATGTTCGGCTGTGTTGCTCACGTAGCTCTTGAAGCACCACTACAAATAAGACCAGCGAACACAAATACAACAAGGGAACGGGGCAAGGGAATAGACGCGCATTAGTGACGGCGGGCGCAGAGATACAACTATTCGTACTTAAAGGATGTCCGTGTTGCGTCTGCAAAATTGAAGGCGCGATGGCGTGAGGTGTGAACTCGCAATGTTCCGCTCTAAGCTGCTAATGTCGTCTCACTCAGATTCGAGAGAAAAGTTAACAAACGAGGCCTTAATACGTCTCTTATGTTCAGCTGTGTTGCCTACGTAGCTAACACTACTCAGTGTCGCACTGGTGCGCATTAGAGTTCTAAACAATTATTTTTGACTCCAATTTTAATTTTTGGTATTTCTTGGCTTTTTTTCCCCGCGAAATGGTGTGAACCCAGCACCATTTCTCCACCTTGTTACATACATTTCGGGCCACTTCTTAGTGTTTAATTTTTTCCTAGTACTTTGATTAGTATTGACTCACTCAATATTTTCCTCAACTGCGCAAGTGAGATATTTCCCTGGAACAAATCCCACGAAACTTTCCATGGAGACAAGGCACCAATATTATTCTCAGAGGAACTTGCATCGTCTAAAAAGTTCGTTTTTGTTTCAGGGATGAGTAACAACGCCGGACGGACAGCTCCGTTCTCGAATGTGGCGAATGAAGATGCTGAGACGGTGCGATGCTTGAAGCTGGCCGGTGCCATACCTTTCATCGTGACCAACACCCCGGAGCTGTGCATGAACTGGGAGACCACCAACTGGGCCACCGGAACCACCAACAACCCCTACGACACTCGTCGAACTCCCGGTGGATCTTCAGGCGGAGAGGTGAGTCCCGCAACCGTCCTAGGACAAGCCGCATAAGTGCAGTTTTTGTTATTTCGAGAAATACGTGTTTGAAGCCTCGAAAGTACGTGGATCCGTAGGGCGGAAAAAAAGTTCAAACTGACGTTTTGATGCTTAAAAATTGGGATTTGGGAACGAATTTTTCACAGAATATGCATTAAGACCAGTTTTAATTGAAATCATTAATATCTCAATTTTTTAAAAAATGTGCACTTATGCGCCTTGTCCTCCAAGCCCCTCAAATCGCCGTACCTCTGACATAGGGGCGTATCTCTACTTCTACATTAGCCCTGGATTTCATGGAGTTATTCGGAGAGCAGTAAGTTGATTCTTGAAATTTATAGACAAAGCTATTGACAAAGGAGACATAGGGAACATGGAGCGATCTGATTGGCCGGAACGGCTGGTTGTCATAGACTAAGGGGGAAAAATGATGGACTAACTATGAGGTCTCTTATTGTAGGTTGTCGTTAGTTAGTGCATTACTTACCTCCTTTGTCCTCTGCAACCACCAGCTTCCACCAAAAGGATTACTTGATTTTCAATTTATTTTCTTTATCTATATCTATATAGCTTTGTCTATAAATTTCAATAATCCGCCCGCAGAAGCTGCTTGGCGTCCTCACAGGGCCTCTTCCTAGATCATTTTTGAAAAAATTGAGAGTCACAGGCATGTAGAGGGCACGACTGCCGAGAGCCACAAAAATCATGAAAATCGGCCGGTGTAATTCTACCATCATGATGATCTAGTAGGAAAATAATAACTTTTTTTGGTAGATGGTATTCGTTTAAACGTCCAAGACAGAAGATCTGCATAAGTTGATGTTTTAGATCACACGAGAAAGAGTCACATTCGTACACGAAATACCAAGAGCACATCACACCGAGGCTCACATTTAAATGACTTTACTCCTAATTAATTAGTGCTGCACGTATAAATCCTCTTGTTAGCTGATATGAGGGCAAATTAGCGGATCCAGGAACCTGCATGTTGACCTCGTTACATTGTCGAATCTGGTTCAGTCCGAATGTAACAGGTTTTTCTTTCAATGTCGTGTCAACGTTTTTGAAAACAATTGATGGTTTTCAATTGGTAATTTCGACATTTTTAAATACTACGGGCCGTTTGAGAGGAAAAAATTACCGTAAAAAGCCGGAAGCTATCAATACCTTGTAATATTTTCACACGAACAAGTACTTAAAAAGTATGAAAAATGAAGGAAATAAGGGGAAAACATGGACCAGGAACGGCAACGGCACACAGTGGATCGAGTCAATCAGAGAGGTCGGACATGAAATTTTTCACTAAAACTGCAAATTTTGATGTTTTACTCGTCACATTTTGAATTTTAAGGAGTGCCACTGGAAGGAAATTTCACGAGAAAACCAATGGAACCACTTTTCAAACCTCAAAGTTTTGTATAAACAGAGTTATGAGCTTGTCAAGTTTCCAAATTTTGTCCGACCTCCCCCATTGACTCGGTCCATAGTGCGGCACCTAATCAAACATTTCTGAGAAATTGAAATATTTGTGACGAAAATCCGCGGATCTTTACCTAAAGCAGCTATTTTTCCGTAACTGTATGCACCCGGCTTTTCCAAAAACAAAACGCATTTCGTAAGCAATATGGATTGTTTGTTCCTGGTGCATCCTTGATATTTTATTAATGATGCAAATTTCCAACATTTAAGAAAAAAGAGAACGAAACCTTTAGCACATAAAAGTAAAATCGCTCAAATAAAATAGATGCTTGCTTGACACAAGCAACTTTCCTCTTCAGAAAAACATCATTTGAGAGCGAGTTCGAGGACGAAACACATAAGTACAGTGTTTGCTATTTCGAGAAATACATGTTTGAGGCTTCGAAATTACACTTATTTTTGTGGCGGAAAGTAAGTTTAAACTGACTTTGTGATTTTTAAAAAGTTAGAATTTAGGAGCGAATTTTTCACAGAATATGCATTAAGACTAGTTTTACTTGAAATCAATAATATCTCTAAAACTGCACTTATGCGCCTTGTCCTCCAAGCCCCTCATTTCTGCTTGATTCAAGAAATCAAAAATTCTTGGCGGCAATAATATAGAATATCACTAATCGAATCAAAGCCTCTTTTTTCCAGTGGACTGTATAAACACGGGCTTAAACTTTCTAAAGGTTCAAAAATTCTCCAATAAGCTCAATCAATAATCCAGCTATTTTTACTCCATTAATAAAGGCCAAACAAGTTGATTTTCGTGAGCGGTATTTGAGCAAACAATTCATCGTGCTTGGCTTTTGATTGAACCCGGTTTCACCTCAGCACAAAGAGCCCTCTCTCGAAGTGTTGTCGAGTGCGGATAAGCACTCAAAGGTCGGATCAGGTGAATGGGGATTGATCGGCTGTGATTGGCAGTGTGCAAATATTCGCGCAATAATTTGTTGAGCGGCGAAGCACCGAACGATGCTTGAAGAAGCGCGGCAAGGCGTTGACCTACTTGAATCTTGAGTTCGACCGGCTCTACGAGGTCTCTGTGCGACGGTCAGGCTTAATTCAGTTTTGTCGTCGGTCATTGCATCTTGGTCCATTGACACTCAAACAGCGTTGTGACGAGTCTATCTTCTGATCTTATGGCATTAGACCATCGCCTCGTACAAAAAATAAGTCCCTTTGGACCAGTGTTCGAAACTCACAGGCGCCAACGCGCCAAATGCGTCTAAAAAATCGGTCATGGCACCTAAAAAATGAAGGCTCTGCGCCAACGTGGCCCCTATTAAAATTGCCCCCTAAAAATCTGAATTTCCATATTAGGCGATTATTTGAAATTTCAGCACTACAAGTGAAAGCTTTTTCTATTCTTCACGATTCCATTCTTAGTGCTCTTGTCTTCCCTAAGTTACAGCTTCTTACTAGTTCTGAAACGAAAACATCTTGTGTCTAACTTTTCACTAAATGCGCCGTAATATATTAGCAAAAAGTGAATTTGGCCCCTAAAAAATCTTCAATGGCGCCTAAAAATCGGGCTTGATGCGCCACATGGCTCCTAAAACTCAAAGGTTAGTTTCGAACACTGTTTGGAACCCTTAAATCATTTCGATGAACAAAGTGCGAAATCACGTCAACGACCTAACCATATCCACTTTAGGAAATTCGATCTAATGACCATTCGCTAATTTGTACCCCTCTGTTTGTTCCAGGCGGCACTCATTTCTTCTGCAGGATCTGTCATTGGCGTCGTCTCGGACATCGGTGGATCAAGCCGGCTCCCAGCCATGTTCTGCGGAATTTTTGGGCATAAACCAACTCCAGGTTCGTTCAGACCTTTAATAAAAATAAAGTATCAGTTCATATGAAATAAATATGCCGCCTCTTCTGCACTAAAGACAGTTAAAAGTTGCGTAGACTCAGGTCATCATCTGCACAAACTGCACATGGTAAAGAGTGTCTTACCTGTTCATTAATAGAAAAAACAACTTAATCGGCCCGAAACATTAACAGAGAAACAACTTAAAACGGGACTAAGGCCGGGACTAGTCCCATTTCAAGTTGTTTCCCTGTTCATTAAGAGTATAGACTCTCCACTAATAATAAGAGTTTGACGGAATCCACCAATTTTTCATTAGATAAAAGTTGAAAAACGTCGATTCATCGAATTTTCCAAATAGTTGAAATCTGAAGTCAAGGTCTGATACGTTAAAATAACTTCAAAAAAACATTGTGAACTAAAATTAACTATAAATTCCGCGTAGTCTTTCATCAATCTCTCGAAACATCTAACTCCAGTTAGAGTGTTTACAAAAGAATTTGCATCCTTTCCTTTTTTTCGTGGTTGTGAATTTTTTATGGTTATAAAATTAATTTAAGAAATGACATCAATTTAATCAAGAAGAATGGAATGAATGGATAAACTAAACTCTTCGCTTGTGGATGGTCGCTCATTTTTTCGACCGTTTTTTGGTGTTTGATCTTGAGGTATTCGCTCTTTGGAAACCGTCTTTTTTATTAATAAAAATTAGGTATACTAACGGGAATTGCCACTCAATCTGAGGAATGATGTTCCAATGAGTCCGACTTTTTTCAATAAGCCACAAAAAAAGACATTGTCTGACGAAAACTGCTCAGCCACACTAAAAACTTTAGATGAAGGACCGTAAAGTTCATCTCCCGGCAAGGAAAAACGTGACATTCCTCCACTCGGTGATAGAAAAAATGTGTTTTAATCCAGTTTTTTTTTTCCTTCGTGGAGCGTATTGGCGTGTCACGGTGTCGACCGCATAAATTGCCTTCAACCTGTCAGATATGCAATTTTATAAACACGTCACTTTAGCTCTATTGCAGACATCTGTAATTGAAGGCGCCAGTGAGACGGTTCACTACCTACCGTAAAAGCAATACGATGGTCCGGTAGTTTGTTTTTCTCTCAACTTAATCGTGATAATTTTAAAATCTTGAAATTCCTAGGGATATTCTGATGTATGATTGTATGAGCAGAATATTCCTCAGAAATTTCAAGTTTTAAAGCCTATTAGAAGAAAAATCAAGGAAGAATTCATGAAATTAAGTTGATTAGTTTTCCAATGAAAATTTAAAGTATGACAGGAAGTTTGCATCGTTGCAAACGGAGTTACGTGTTTTTGAACTTTCGCCATCTTGAATTATTTTCACCGTTTTGAGACGATCAAGTGAAAGAGAATTTGAAGTTTCAAAGTAAGGGAGAACATTTTAAAACCACGCGACTAAGGTGCATGTTTTTCTAGTTTCCTCATTGATATTTATTTCATGCGTTCGTCGTGCACCTGATGACATCAAAAGTCGCCTCAGAAAATCGTTTTCGCAGAACCAGTGTCAGGTTGTTTGACTACTGAACCGGTTGCATGAATGAACTTTTTATAGTAACTGGCAGCTTGCGGTCAACTGCAGTTGCTCGAGTTTAAACTATTTATTGAACACATTCACGATGGTATCTTGAACTGCGATGGTAACGCTTGTGACGCACGATAGTGCGCTTGTATGCTTAACGGCATCCTAAATTAATTATGTGTAAAAATTCACCCACGCTTGGTGGTCAGCATTCAGATTCCAGGTGTTCATTTTCACACGCGTGTCCTACATAGTTAGCAAGAGAACCTTAAACCTAGACTTCCAGCTTTACACAAGAAAGGGTTTGTTGCTCTAGGCTACTATCTCCCACTCAAAATACCAAGAAACTGTTTTTATTTAAAGCAAGTAGAATCAAGATGAGGATCAAGTTGAAGTCACTTTTTTCAACTTTCAGAGAATCACAAAATAAAAGTGTTGAAATTATGGCTTTTTTTTGAGTGAAGCTGAAAATACAGTTTAGGGCCAGGGTAATTAGACCAGAGAATGACAAAAGCCGGAGTCTATGTGACTTTACGGATTTTCCAGAAGTAAAAAGCGATTTATGCCTTTTTGATCCTAATTTTTTTCATTATTTTAAATCTAATCAAGAGTTTTGCTATTCTGATCCAAATATTTTCATAGCATAACTTTAAGCCCTTCTTTGAGACACGGCCAATTTGAAAGAAGACAAATATTTTTTTTGCCTTAGTTCATTTTTTGAAAATTTTCAAAATTACATGGAGTTTTCCCTAATAGACCCCAACATCAATAATTTGCAATTTATTTCTAATTCTTGGAACGCGGCTAATGAGCACTGTTTATTGATGGTTCACAATTACTAAAATCAGTGCCTTCCTGTGGTTTTGATCGCATATGCTTCATTTTAAAATGGCATTTGGCGGATGTGATGTTATGAGCACGATACACTGCATTTATGAAATAACTTGAAACTTTATTTATCACGCCAGTTCCAGATTCACAATGTTTTTTTAACATCTAGTTTGGAATTCTGATGTCTAATTAATTAATGTAAATTTCAGGTATTATCAGCATCGATGGTCACATGCCCTCAGCTCGTGATAAGCAGTGGCACAAATTCTTTTCAATCGGAGGTATGTCGCGCTACTCTGAGGATTTGCCGTTACTTCTCAAGTGCATGATGACCGACAAAACTCTGGCAGATAAATTAAGACTCGATGAATTGGTAAGTAATATTTCTGTTGCATTCAGAAAATCAAATTCTTATGTACAAGTTGGCAACGTCGCACTTCGCTCATTGAAACGCAAACATTAAATCTATATCAATCAAATTAGGATGCCTCACCTGAAATGCCGAGTCGCCTACCAAAGGGAGCAGTAACGTCCAAATTTTCGAAATCGAAATCTTCAAAATTTATTTAATCTAATCTAATGAACTTAATAATCAAGCTAAAACAGCAAACTTGGTGTCTTAAAAGTAAAACACAGGACTCGTGGGAAGACAGTAAAATCACAAAAATTGACGTCATTATCTGTGACGCGCAGGGCCGGATTTAGGGGGTGGCCGCATGGGCCGCGGCCCCTGGCGGCAAATTGTACACTTTTTTAAATGCAGGTATTAAAAAAAATCGGATTCAGAAAAAAAATTACGAACGAGAAAAGGCAATAAAATCTCTCTTTTCCTGAGAGTATAGTAGTTTCTAATTTTGTCATCTTTCGGTGATACAAGAGACAGCACCTTTAATTAATCAAGTTAAGAGAGAAATCAAACGCGCAATTTGACCTGGAACGGCGAGGCGTAGAGAGCAATGACGACGAGGACTTGAGATGAAAAGGAGAAGCCCTCGACGCGGCGCGGCGGTCGGCGTGAAACCCAAAGCGCCTACAAGACTGCATGAATACTTCACGCATTACGTCAATGACAGTGAGGCCAGCAGCGGTCGGCGTGAAACGCATAGCGCCTACAAGACTGTAGGAATACTTCACGCATTGCGCCAAACATAGTGTGGTCAGAGCGGCACAGCGGCGGCGGAAGTTAAGATTATTAAACCACATTTATATTCGTTTTTTCATAACTTTTTCGTTTATTTCTTATAAACGGAAGGCCATGTCCACACAGAGATAGGTTAACGGAACTTACTTCCGCGCAAAGTTCCGTGAACTGTTGCTAGTAGTGCTGACAGGGATTTTGAAAAAAATGTGTCGAACACGACTAAACTCGTCTTATGCACGCCTCCCTCTGTTGATGTTTATTCATATTTCAAAACGAATGAGGAGGGGGCGGCAAAATAAAGGCGGCCCATGGGCGGCAAGTAGGTAAATCCGGCCCTGGTGACGAAGTGTGAATGATCGACTATCGATATTCCCTCATTTGAAGCCATAGTAAAGGATCGATAATTAAGGTGCTCGTTGCAAACACCATGTTTGCTGATCCTTTTCCATAGGTATAATTGGCTGATCAATCCATATATTGCAAAGCACGCCACACCACTGGTCATTCTGTAGACGAAACAGCAATTAGATCCCGTTTTTCCGCAATATATCTATCATTGCTGCTGCATTGAGTAAAATGGTCCCCTTTTCATAATTTCATATTAAATTGCGTTGTATATTTAGATGAAAAAAGTTAGTAATTTTATTGAAAAGGAATCTTCATCCATTTGTATTATACGTAGAGATGAAGAACGGCAAATGAAGTCTTGAATTTGTTGAATAATTTTTATAGCTAATGATATTGTTGTTCCTTATTGAACTATTTTGCTCTTTCAGGAACCGGTGAAAAATATTAAGTTCTACTACATGGAAAATGATGGACCCACGATAATCAACAACGACACACACATCGAAATAAAAGAAGCTATGAGGAAAGTGGTCAACTACTTAGACGTAAAACACGGAATCAAAGCGCAGAAGGTAGTTTCCCCGTTTCAAATAAAATTATGAACTAAATTCCTTCTCTCTTGCGTTTTATAGGACTGTATATTTTGACAGGTACCTCTATTCATGACAGCTTTCAAACTCTTCGAAAAGATGTTTTTAAAGTATTGAGTCCAACAGTCAATGAGGAAAGTTTTTATACAAGGGTATTATCGTACCTACAGTGACCACATTTCCGTGGTCAGCTAATGATAATGTTTACTCAATGAAGCCCAGTGACAGCATTCCTTTCGATCAAGTTCTTCGTCATTTTGAAGTCTGACCTTTATTTAAATTGTAAACTCTTTCTTTCTTTTTTTTTCTGAAATATTTAAAAGTTTTGATAATCAATGTGCTGAATTTTTTTCATAGAAGAAATAGACAGAAGCCCCGACCTCTCCAATTGAACCCTGCACCATCTTAAACATATTGAACTACATTATAATGTACATATTTAATGGACATATTTAATGTTTCTATAACACACAACTCTCAGGCTAAGCTATGACGTTTCTATTTTATGGAATAATGCTCTCTTACCTTTCCAATCGTTTGATCCATTAATTCCTCGATCTACTACGCATAAAAGTACACGCCCTCTATATCTTTTTTAAAATTTTCAGGTCAATATCAGCATGGATGATGCGTTTGCTTTAGCTCTTATACTAATGGCACGCATGGAAAATATCCCAAGCGTCTTCGATCGCGAGGAATCTTCTGCTCTCAGCGTAAGTTATATTTTGAAAATCAAGCGTTTAAAACACGTATTTTGAGTCTTTTTTTCCGACCAATAATAAGTATTTTCTCTTTCTGCCCCCATTCCCCTCTGCCATCATCCGACGCGCAATATGACAGCAATTTGATGCATTAGTCGGTGAAGCACATCGTCAATCGATTCATATCGTTAAAAGAAGGTTTCTTTTGATTTTCCTCAATATTTATCAAAATTGTAATTTTTAAGGCACAATATATAGTACACCTGTTTCCTACGTAACACATCCCAAGTAGCAGTGATCGCGAAAAGTTGCGATTTGATTGGAGAGTGTTCCGCAATATTATCGTCGTCAATTAATTGTAATATCATCGGATGAAAAATTGCGATGAACTTGCGATTTCATCAGAAAAATATACAATAAAATCACGATTTTGGTGGCGACGATTTATTACATCATTATTGAACAAAATATCGTGATAAATTGAGATAAAATTTCGATTTGATCGAACCCAATTTTATAGAGGTAAAATTACGACGAGATTGGGGATAATCACTCAGATGTTGATGAACCTGGCGAATTTATCGCCAAAAAATCGTAAAAAAATCGCAACTTAATTTCAAAATATTCCGGTTGGAAATTGCTACTTAGGATGGGTTATCCGCGGATGAGGAGGAGGAGAGAAGTAAATTCTAAAGCGATATATCCGTTCATACTTTATTGAATTTATTGCTTTTGTAAAATAATGGTGTCTTAGCGTGTTTCACTCGCATTAGCATGCGTCCATACTAGCAATCGTGAATATATGAACACCTATGAAGACATATAATTAACAGTGGCGTAGCGTGCCTTGCGATATATAGATCTGCCATTTAAACCTATCGAAAAGGATCGATTACCAAGGTGTTCGCAGCGAACACCCTAATAATCGATTCTTTACCACAGTTTCAAATGGGGAAATATCGAAAATCGATCTTTCTCGCCTTGCCACTGATAATTAAGGGCGTCCCGGTCCCGTGACCTTGTAACTCATATTCATATTTTACCAGACACCGGGGCTGGTAATTATATCAGAAAGCAAAATATCACCTTTACAATTATTCTACTTGGCTATTCGTTCCACCATCAGTTTGAGGTATCGATAAAAAGAAAGACGTGAAAATTTTCTTGGGAAGTGTTCTCTTAGTAAAAATGATTTGCAGAATAAGAAAATATGTATATTCACACTCGGTGACATTTCAGATATCTGTTATGCACATTCTTTGACCGTTTCTGTAAATGGACTCCATTTTGCAATTTGGAACTACAAATTCTGGCTCATCTGAAAAAACACTTATGTGCATAGGGAAACTAATGGCACATATGTTGTTTTTAAACCGAGCCAGAATGTATAGTTCCAAATTGAAAAATGCAGTCCAAATAATCCTCTTTTTTGGTCCCACGACCCTCTTCCGCTTTAATTAGGGAAAGGGAGGTTATGTTATACGATCTACTAAAATCTCCATGGAGTATTTTTTGAAGTAAACAGACGGTCTTGGTTCAGGACACACATTTTTCATGATGTTTCACAGATGAGTTTTAATCGAAACATGTCTCACATGCCTGCAATAAATTAGGACGATAGAGGAATAATACGGATAATATTATTACCGTATCTTGAACTCATCTCGGGCCCGCCTTTTACGCTCCATCGCACTGGTCACATAAATATAAAAGCCGAACAAATCGCTAATCATTCGCAAAAGGTCGGACTGTCGGCGGGCATGGGGCGTATGCTTCAATGCTCTAAAATGTTTTGTATTGATCGATATTATATAAACGCGCACATCACGGAGTTTCACGCAAACGACCGTGGTTTTCTGCCGTAAAAACGTAAGTTCATTTTCCACGTAAGTCTTGAAAATTATGGATTTCAACGGATTACGCAGCGTACAACGTACGCGTACGCAACGTCATTACGTCAGCAAGGTGTCCATACTGCCGTGCTGAGGAAGAACACCGTATGAACATTCGAGAGTTTCCAAATTTCTTTCAATAAAATGTTTTCTTTTGAGGAATGCTATGAATATTTTTCCTTGAAATTTTCAGGAACTTTAGGTGCAATTGCAAGCATTATTATCTGAAAAATTGAAAGAAAAATGTTCATAAGTTTACCAGGAAATTCGTGTTTTACAGATGGAAATTTGGCAAAGTCTGAAGGTACTTACGGCGTTTTTCCTTAGCATGGCAGCATGCGGGAGGAAGTCATCAATTCCGTGAGGAGTGTTCGCGTACGAAGCGTTTTAACTCGCGGACAAAAATTGCCTTAAAAATGGCGAAATATGCAACCCCATGACCGTCGTGTTTAAATAGTTTTTGCTTGCGCTTGAAGGGACTTTAAGAGAATGTCCATTATCGTTGCCACCGTGAAACACGATAAGAGCTACGGCATTGCCACATGATTTCTGAGGAAAAGTTCATGCCAAACCCATCGAGCAGGTTGACAATTTCTGAAATCAACTCGTAAAGGGGGTATTAGCATTTGCTGCTCACATTGATATTAGTCAATTTTGACGTCATTCCATCACCGAAAACTAACTTATCGTTGGGAAAAGATTGCAGCTAGTTTTACAATGAATTCTTTCTTTTCCTTCACGCACAGTGTTTACAGACTCATTAAGAACAATTTAGCACTATAAGAAAGTTATTTAATCGTAATAAAATACACTATAATAAAAGCAGTGCCCCATTTGATTCGAGAAGACTTACTTTTTTGAGCGAGCGGAACTGATTGTAAGCTTGAAATTACAAAGGCAAGAAAAGTAAATTTATTCTTTAGGAGATCAATTTAGGTATTTCCAATTTGATCATCTGTTTCACGTAAAATGCTGAGGATACAACCTGCATAGTGAGGCTCGAATTATGATAAAGGCCACTATGTTCTTCCTAAGTCCTTCAACTGGACTCACTTAAATCAAGAGGAACTATATCCATTAAGACATGAGCTACGTCTTGCACGTATTCTTATGGATCTCAGAGCTCATTTTGGAATGGATATAGTTCCTTTTGATTTTAATACATCCAAATGGACATAGGAAATAGCCTCATGGTATCTCATGGCTTCTGTATCTGACTTGATATTAGAAGGCTTGAGTATAATAGGATTAATAACCAGAATCGTATGCTGCCGTGCTGAGAAAAAACGCCGTATGAACCTTCGTCAGTTGCCACATTTTCTTTGCATGGATATGAATTTTCAGGAAAACCTGCGAATATTTTCCGTTCGAATTTTCGGAGAATTTTCTTCGTAATTAGATCTAAATCAAGAGAAAATATCCGTAACTTTCCTAAAAAATTGACATTTCATCAAATGAGATTTGACAACTCTCGAATGTTCATACGGCGTTCTTCCTTAGCACGGCAGTGTGTGTGTTCGCACTTCGCACAACTGCTGAAGTGCCAAAACAGAACGGATTACAAAATTATCGATCGAAAGGTGACGTAACCCTTCGAAAATTCCTCATCATTTTTATGACACGCACGTCGGTAACACGCATACGATTTTCGATCGTACCACTGAATGAGCAAGTCAATAAGAGTGAAATTTAACTAGGCCAATGGATTACAGAAGCAAGACCAAATGGACGTATTTCTGTCAAACGGAACTATGTGCATGAAGACATGATCCCTGATACCCATAAGAATACACGCATGACAGGGCTCATGTCATAATGCACGTAGTTCCGTTTAACAGAAATACGTCCAAACAGTCCTGAACATGAGGGCTAAACGGATATACTTACAGATGTTAATAATCAGAAGTATCACAAACTTACGATGATAAGATTGAAGATAACTCCAATGAATGAACCAGCCCTTCATTTTTTGTTTTTACCTTTAGGTGATTATTTGTTTCTAATTAATTAGCCCCTGCACATTTTCACTCAGGACTTTTCAGCAGTTAAATGAGTCTTCGCACATATTTTAAGGTATTCCTTAATGAATGACCTTCTCTTATTCACAGGTTCCCGGAGTGAGTCCTCTAGAGGAAGTCAAGAAATTCTTCTCATATTTGACGTATAAATACACAATCTCTCCCGTGCTTTTTGCGATGTTGAAAAAAGGAATCGATCAGATTTCAAAAGATAGTGTCAGAGCGTTGTATGAGAAGAAACAAGAGCTAACAAAGACCTTTGAGGTAAGGAATTATCTTGTGATTTGTGCGCGTTATGCTGAAAGGCTGAATTTAAATAATTGTTCCAAACACCCTAGTGATTCAATTTTTGCCAAAAATCTCAGTTGAGATTGAGCTTCCCCTTCTGAATTTATTCCGCTCATTTCTTAGCATGTGGGATTAATTTTACAGAAATAAAATACATTCAAATTTTATAGAAGTAAGTTAGATTAGGTATCTGGCACATCTTAGTTATTTGACTTAAAAACCACACCGAAGAGAAAATATGAAGCACTTTGAACTAGCCCTTCAAGCAAAGTTTTTATCTTGAAAACACGATTTTTATAAGAGCAAGGAAATTAAGGAACCGTAGTCATTAATTTTCAAGAACATTTTTGCCCATAAATATTCAATGAGAAAATAAATTGAAAATTAAGGAAATGCAACAAAGAGAAGAGGTACAATTCGACACGATGTACAGCAATTAAATTGACGTATCTGTAGGTGATATATCAATGATTTTTCTCTGATTAAAACCAAATTTGGTTCTTTTATCCATCTATTGTCTATATATTTTTATGTTTTTCTTTTCTTTGATTTCATTTCAGGATTTGTTAGGAGGCGATGGTGTCTTTCTCTACCCATCATTCCCAAACGTAGCCCATTTTCATTACCAGATTTACTACCTCTTTCCAAATAGCTCATATTTAGCCCTTTTTAATGTCACAGAAATGCCTGTAACCAACTGTATGGTAGGAGTCAACTCACAGGGTCTGCCAATTGGTATTCAGGTATGCATAAAATTTTAAGTTATTGATACATCACTCGCACATAAAATGAAGACAAGAAAAATCGTATGATCTTCAATAGAGAGGATGTTCAAAAAGGTCTGACTCCCCATGGGCCGGACGCTCTTAAACATTTAATTTTCAATTTTTCTTTAATCAAATGTTTTGCACTGTCAATTTTTCTTTAATCAAATGTTTTGCACTGTCAATTTTTCTTTAATCAAATGTTTTGCGTACAAGTTGTCCGTTTTCTCCCGCTCATATATAATTACGAGCAAAAATTATCTTATCTTGTGAAAGAGGTACCAAGAATGGACGTCTACAATGAGCTCTATAGGTGATATTTAAAATAAAGCAATAAAAAAACATGACAATTTTATCTTGAAATTTTGAAGAGTGGCAACGTTGTAATACATTTTAACAATCAATGGCCTTCTCGAAAAATCGGCAATGATAAACATCGGTAATAATATATCACGATAGGCAACGTTGGCTTTGAATTAAGAGGTCAGAAAAACAAGCATAGCGCCCCCTCCGTTAGTGGCGCATGCGACAAACACGAAACGAATGTCATTATAACGCCTGGATGCAACTATTCGAGCTCTATGGATGTCCGTGTTGCATACGCACGGAGTTGAAGGCGTTTTGAATCTCCAGACACTCGCCGCCTCACCCGCGGCGCGCCGCGCGCTACGGTCCATAGCTACCGTATTTAACAGATCTTTATTCGTTTTAAATAAGGCATTTCCACTGATGACCGACCGTTTTATATATTTTCAGGTTGCAGCGAACAAATTTCAGGATAGGTTATGTCTTTCAGTGGCCAGAGAACTTGAGACAGCCTTTGGAGGCTGGGTTCAGCCACCATGTTACGAGCCTGCAACAACGACTGCATGATGTATCCCAATTTAGTCGCCATTCTCAGTATTCCACGGCGTCTCGTCAGAATTTTCGGTGTTTGTAATGAACTGCAGTCGTGCGAAGCAAGATGTGGTATAACCAGGATCCGTGGATCTAGCGACGCTGAAAAAAGACTGGTTTCAAGTGGAGTTAATCCCGTGAAAGTTCCTACATGTTCTGCTGAACTACATTTTGAAATCAAGAGCTACAATTTTTAGCTCATGTACAAAAGCTCTTATCTGCATAGGGAACTTAGCGGTACACATGTTATTTATAAAATGAGCCAGAAATAGTAGTTCTTCGTTGATAAATGAAGCTCAGTTTGCTCTCAAAGTCTTTCTCGTTCGAGAGATTCCTACAGTGAGGGACGCACAGGGAGCTGGTTTCCCCATTTGCGGTTGTGAAATGGATTACATTTTGAAATTAGGAACTGCAATTTCTAGCTAAGTTTAGGAACGTATCATTTGTTCCGTAATGAATGTAAGTGTTTCTATGGATGAGAAAAAAATTGTAGTTCCTTTTCAACAAAATGCAGTCCAAATAATAGTGTGAGCGTTGAAAGTAATCATTAAAGATGCAGAATGACTGACGATTGATGTCAAACGTGACCACTCCCCCAAGGCCTTTGTTACTCGTGCAAGCCACAAACTTTGTCCAACTTTATCACTGAGAAAAATATTCCCCTGAATTTTTACGTCGCGACAGAGCTTCACGTTGAATCAACCGGAAATCTCCCAAGAGCGACAAGACGTCCCTTTAAAGTAACGAAGACCCTTTTCGAAACGAGCCGAATTTTTGCGGTTTCCAAGAGACATTCTTGTTCGTGGCATATTTAACAGATATTCCCGTTGATCCAACACGAAAATTTTCGCGGGCTAGAAGAGATGGCTTTACTGGGGACGCGTGATTGGTCGTCGTTGAATTTTGCTCGAGTAACATCAGGTTCAGAGTAGAATTCGAGGAAAAGTTGACTATTGCTACAAATAACATCAATCATAATAAAATAATATGAAGAAAGATTGGCAAAGTTGACCAAAATAAACTCTGTATTGGCAATTTTCGGTCAGATGACTTATCTATGTCAGCCTAACTACCACTGAAACGCGGTTATATTTGTCTTGAATTGGATCAAACCACGATGTCTTCGAAATGAAATTTAAAGGCCAACAGATAATAGATAATGGTCCGGTCAAAGTCATTGACCAAAATATTGCTGGAAACTGCAATAGCTGGTTTCAACCTAGAAAGTTTCACATGCTTTTTGCCAGTTTGGATCCTGTAACACCAACAATGAAATGTTGACGAAAGAGAAATGAGATCATCGTATGGTCGCATGGACAATTGATAGTCCTGTGATGACCTCTGTAAAGGAGAAGTGAAGAGGTAACACCCACAAAAGCAATTCACAGAATTTCTCACTATGAGTACCTGCATCAGGAATCATCACATTCATAGCTGTAAGTTCAATCTAATTTAGGTAAGATTTTTTTAATGATTCTAGGACGTAGCGCTTTTTAGCTATTGTTTGACCGTTTGAAGAATACTCATTCCCTTTGAAAAATGATTTGTCTCTGACGTTGGAAGATTTTTTTTTAAACATTAAAACCGCGATGTGGTATTCTTGTCTAAAGACTCAATAACCCTGTATTATTTGCGCTGAATCAGGCAATCCCTGTCAACGACCAGTTTTTATTCTTTTTTATTTTTTTTTAATTCCTAACAAATGATAAATAAATATTTTACAGTATAGTGTTATAGATTACATGAGATAAATTGATTTTTTCAAGCAATTTCTCTTTTAGCCACTCCAAAGATAGCGGCTCAGCTGAGCATCTCCCAACGTTCACCAGACCTTGAAAATCGATGTAACACCCACTAATTTTTCCCCTTTTCTCCAAACCCAGAGATAACTTTTCATTCTTCGCTTTAGAATTTTATAATCTATGATGACTAGAATTTATATTAAATCCTTGAGTGTATGTAAGAATCTGCGCGAAATTATTATGCAGTTGGTTTTAAAAGCGTTAAAGTGTGCACCCTTTCCGCTTTTTGATGGTTTAAGCCAAAGTTGTGATATTATGCTTAGTTACTATGTTAGTTCTAAATATTTTTCTAAAATTATTTTTAAATTTCTTTTTTCCAGTTGTCCCTATTATTTATTTTATTCACTACGCAATGCTTAATTTCTTATCTCCCTCTCCAGCTGACGTTTGATACCAAAGGAAAAAGTCTATTTAAAGTTCGAATATCTACAATCCTATTAAGACACTGAAGACACGCAAACTCGATTTTGTGGCCTCAAAATTTCCATTCAGGTTTCATTTTTGTAAAAGAGAGACAACTTACATGTTGAGATGAAGTTTTTCAAATAATTTGATTTAAACAAATTTAAAGGATGTGTAGATCGGAGGACGTTTATCCAAATCATCATCAAGATCATCAGCGTGATTTTAACTTTTAACATTGAAATCAAATAACCTCATACGTTTGATTGTCTGTAGAAGAGTGACGCAATCATTGACGCCAGGGCAGAATTCCCTGCAACACTTAAATTATAGAAATTCATAAATAAATTCATACATCAACATGTTATAGAGAAGGTGGAATGCGCTTTCACCGAAACGTATTTAAGTTAGGGTTCTTAAAGTTTCATTTCAAAACTGTGTTTTACTTCATGTTTTGGTATGAAATTGATAGCTAATCATTCACTATTGTAAATGTTTCGCAGATGGTCCTCAGTTTCATTTTAATGCGTGACAAATCATTTATAGACTAATATCCTCATTAGGTTACGTTTTCTATTTGAAATAGCTTGTCAAGAGGTTTTTTTATAAATAGTCCCACCAAAAAAAATTAAATTAAAATGTAATAAAACTAAATATGGGCGCTGCTTTACATCTATGCGAGATAAAATTATCCGAAATTTTAATCGCAAGGTGGCTTGGTCTACGGTTTTGATATAACAAAATTTATTGAAAATTGATTAGCTATATAGACCTTTTTTAGGTTTTGTTTATACAATTTCTCTCCCATATCAAACTCAAAATAACAAAACTAAGTTCACCATGAAAATGCCTCGAATTTTCTCGTAAACATATGATTTAAAAGGACTCATTTGATGACATTCAAAGCTAATTTTGTACTTTTGTAAGTTTTAAATTATAAAATCTTGTTTTACGACGCGTTCCGCAACTTATTTGACTCCGTGATACCTCAACTCACCGGATGATCAAATAAAATACTTTAGTTTTCAAATGAAATAATTTTTTACCAAATAAAATTTTTTGTAAGAATTTTCATTGTTGTTGTGTATGATTAATCATCTTTCCCAAGAAGCCATTCATGGAAACTTTAACAAAGTGGACAAAACACTTTTACTCACGGACTGCATGCATTTTTAAATAGGAACTACTATTTCTGGCTCAGTGGCGTGGCATGAGTGATCGATTATGGATATCTCTCTATTTAAAGCTATGGTAAAGAATCGATTATTAAAGTGTTTGCTGCGGACACCCTGTTTATCGATCCTTTTCCATAGGTTTGAATGACAGATCTATCGATATATCGCAAAGCACGCCACACCACTGGTCTGGCTCATTGTAGAAACAACGTATGCGCCAGAAATCTCCCAATGTAGCTGAGTGGTGCCCCCATGAATGAGCGGAAAATATAGTACCTCGCCTATTGCAAAATGCGGATGCAAAATTCGGAAGTGTAGAAAAGTAGTAGTAATAGACAGGGCCGGATTAAGGGGGTGGCCACATGGGCCGCGGCCCATGGCGGCAAATCTAGGGGGCGGCAAATTTTTCAATTTTTTTAAATGTAGGTATAAAAAAAATCTGGTTTAGAAATAAAAAATTACGAACGAGAAAAGGCTACAAAATCTCTCATTTCCTGAGAGTGTAGTAATTTCTAATTTTGTCGTCTTTCAGTGATACAAGGGACAGCTTCTTTAATTAGTATTGTTAAGAGAGAAACCAAACACTCAAGTTGGCCTGGAACGGCGCGACTTATGGAGAAATGATGACGAGGACTTGAGATGAAAAGGAGAAGCCCTCGGCGCGGCAATCGGCATGTAACACATATTATTAGCGCCCACAAGACTGCACGAATACTTCACGCATTGCGCCAAATACTAAGCGGTCGGCGCGGCGGCGGAAGCTAAGATCATTAAACCAAATTTTGTGTTTGTTTTTTCATAATTTTTTCGTTCATTTCTTATGAATTGAAGGCCTTGTCCATTAGAGATAGGTTTACGAAACTTGACTTTCGCGCAAACTTCCGTGACCTTTTGCTAGTAGTGTTGACAGAGCTTTCCCAAAAAATGTGTTCAACACGAGGAAACGCGTCTTATGCACCCCTCCCCCGCTGGCACGTTCACTTGATGGTTTTTATTGATGTTTCAAAACGAATGAGAAGGGGGCGGCAAAATACAGGCGGCCCATGGGCGGCAAGTAGGAAAATCCGGCCCTGGTAGTAGAAGTATGTATTTGCTTAATTTAAAGCGTTACCTTTAACAGTTCAAACTCGTTGTTAAACACTATTTTTTTAAATAATGCATCCAAATGATGCGTAACGGTAGAGGAGACCTCAGTTCCTAAAAACTCAACTTTAAGTATAATCGATACCAGAGCACAAAGAAACTCTGGGTAGGTAACGCCGAAAAATGTAAAAACCGTAAAAACTTACCTGGATTAATGGTGCTTTAAGGTCTGCAGTCTAGAAGCTGTAGTTTACAGAGAAAGCTTATTACATTGCAAATCTGTCATGTTTATGGCATAACATTTTTAAATGTAATTAAATTTTAATGCAACTTTACGCTCTCTCTTTGCTCAAATTGAATAAATCGCGACATATTTACAAAAAAACGGGGGGCAGTTTCGTCTCCGGTGAAATCAGATCTTGCGCTTTTGAAAATTGCCACACGGTGATGAGCAATTCATCATTGAAGGAGGTTGGACTTGAATTTTTGACTAAAACTGCAGACGAGGATGCTTATTCTGTCTTCAATTGTTACACAGTTCAAAGGACATTTATCAGGGAAATGAAACGAAAAACCCAATGAAACTACTTTTAAACAACTTCTCATGTTAACAAAAATGTGAACTAATAAATTTGTTTATATCCAACCGCTCATATTGACTCCGTCCATCGTGCGCCGGTTACAGAGGCGGATCCAGCAATTTGGCAACACCGGAATTCCTCCATTTAAACCTATGCTCAATAATCGATTCTTATCGGAGCACCTGCCCCCCCTCCCTCCCCCAAGAGTCGATACATTTCCACAGGTTTAAATGGAGGAAATCCGGTGTTGCCAAATTGCTGAGTCCGCCAATGGCCGGTTAAATAATGAACAAAACGAAGTATTTTTGAATTATTCTTTATGGTATTCAGAGGCATACCTACGTATTACTGACCTCTGGCTTTGAGTCAAGCCACCCTAAAATATTCTTATTCAACGCGATGTGCTGCGTCTCGTACTCATCGCAAATCGCCGCCAACACATCGCACAATTGTTCGGCGAGATTCCTAAGCTCGTCTTTCATCGCGGTGAAGTTTGCGTCCTGCTCTTCTTTCTCCAAGGTCGCTTTGGCGAGACCCACCTTTAACTGGGTATTCAAATCCGACTCCGTCTTGAGTTTGGCCCTCTCCTCGGCGATTTCGACACGCAACGCCTCCATGAGCTGCTTCTGCTGCTCCTCGCCCCCGCTGGGAAATCTAGGAGCTTTCATGAACCGATCGATTCGTTCTTTGCACTCCCACAGTTTGACCAGTGTTTCTTTTCCGTTCTGAAATTAGAAAAGTTGGCCCATGAAAGCTGCAGGCCGATTATTGAAATTGATAGACAAAGCTATAGACAAATAAGACAAAAGGGATATGGAGAGATGCTTTTGGTGGAAACGGGTGGTTGCATTGGACAAAGGAGGCAGGTAATAGAAACAAAAGGGAACTCACGAGAGACCCTATAGTCAGTCCATCATTCTCCTCCTTAATTTATAACAGCCACACATCTTAACCAGTAGGATCGCTCCATGTTACCTGTGTCTTTTTCGTCTATTGCTTTTTCTATAAATTTCAATAATCAGCCTACTGGAAGTACGTTTAGGTAAACTCGAGGTTAAAAATGTCCGTATTCACGCTAACTTAGTTAGTTTATCATTTTCTCCCTCAGTATATAAGAACCCTCTATTTCAACCAGGAGGATCACTCCATACTCCCTACGTCTTCTTTGTCTATAAATTTCAAAAATTGGCCCGCAGGACGGAGCCGTCTTTCCCAAAATCATTCATTTCGGGCTCGAAAGCTTATATCGTCAAAATAGATATTACCCCAAGTAGCAGTGATCGCGATATGTTGCGATTTGATCAGAGAAGGTAAGCCGATTTTATAGACATCGATTTATTGCGATATTATTGGATAACAAATCGAGATAAAATTTAGATATTTCAAACGCGATTTTGTAGAGATAAAATTGCCACAAGATCGAATATAGTTGTTCAGATGTTGATAATTCTAGCGAATTCATCGCCAAAAAATCGTATGAGGATCGCAACTCACCTTCAAAATATCGCGATTTTTTTAAGATTTTAGCGGTACAGTTTTCAGGATCATCAACATCCGAGCAGTTATTCTCGATCTTGTCGCAATTTTATCTCTTTTAATTGCGTACGATAAATTGAAATTGTATCGCAAAATGTGATGAAAGTGTAATTTATTGCAATTTTTTATCCGATTAAATTGCAATAAATCGATGTCGACAAAATTGCGATACATTTTCCGATCAAATCGCGACTTATCGCGATCACTCATACTTAAGTCTTGGAGTCCGGGAAAAATGCACAAGCAACAGTAAGAAAGCATGACAGCATGCGCCAAAGTTTGATGTACCGAAACATCGGTGTTGAAATTGCTCTCTGTGTATTGAAATACGATTCCTTGACCGAACGCGCAATCGGCCTGAATAAACTTGAAAACTTGCCTTGATACTGCGAACTTTTTCCTCAAGTTCCTGTTTGGCGGCTCGTTCCATTTTTGAGATCCTTTGTTGGTGCATCTTTTTGAAATCCGCTATCACCCGTTGCCTCTCAATATTCCATAACCGCAGGAGTTTGTCTACCACCGACTTTGGATACATTTGATAAAGATCGTTGAAGATGTCTCCGGCATTCTCCGCCTGCTTGGAACAAAACGCATTTTTAAGAGGCTTTTTCTTTAGGCGTAGACAGCCCACCAAATCCAATGGGTGAACGGCAACAACTGAGAGACTTTTTTGGCTGCGTTTTTTTTCCATTGGTTACCCCCATAGCGCCAAATTTTTCAAAAATCTAGAAATCATCACATCAGTGGCAAAGCGTGAATGATCAATTAAATTTCCCCATTTGAAGGAACGGTACAGAATCAATCGGTAAATTGCATAGCACACCACGCCACTGCATCACATGCTACATCATTTTTAGATTTTTCATTTATTTAGAAAATAATGAATAAAAAAATCAAATGACTATCGCACTATATACCTCAGAACAAGTTTTCCCTTATGAAACTGTCCCATGGAGTTTTCATGATTTTCTCATGGGTCTTCACGGAATCCCATAGGATTCTCGTTAAAACCCATGGGATCTGACTGGTTCCCATGAGGATCGATGGGGTCCTCATGGGGAATGGTGGAGACCTCATGGGGAATGGTGGAGACTTCATGGGGAATGATGGAGACCTCATGGGAATCGACGGGGACCTCATGGGGATGGATGGAGACCCTATATGAGGATCAATGGGGACCATAGGGGAACCCGAGGGAACTGATTGGGTGACGACCAAGGCTCATAGGGCAACTAAGAGAGTTGAATAGAGAACTTAAGAAATTCCTAAGGGTCTGCTGGGAACCTAGCAGGCAAATTCTCGCGGAATTCTAATGCACTACTTCAGTCGTATTAACAAGACATATTAAAATGAAGAAAGCGTGAAAAAATTTAGTGCAAAATTTACATCTAGAACTTACAAGACAAGAAGCATATTCTATGGTCAGGTACATGATGAATCACCCTCTAAAAACTGTGCCAAAATTTACGTCTAGCACTTATGAAACATCAAGCATATTCAATGGTTACATGATGGGTCCATTGACAGATTTGGTACCGTTTACTGTGGACAATAAAATTAATGGAGCTGCACGCTATATCCTACTTCATTGTTAGTGACGTATAAAATTCTGAATGATAGCCAAACGCATGCCTTGGTGGTTCACTTTGTTTCGACTGGCGCACAGTGGATCGAGTCAATAGGAGAGGTCGGACGAACTTCGGAAACTTTAAAAGCTTATAACTCCGTATATACAAAACTTTGAGGCTATAAAAGGGGTTTCATTTGTTTTCTTGTGAAATTTTCTTCTAGAGGCACCCAGAAAAATTTAAAATACGAAACAAACATCGAAATTAGCAGATTTTGTCAAAAATTTCATGTCCGACCTTTCTGATTGACTCCATCCACTGTGTGGTGGTTACACAAAGCTCTTGTGCAATGCGTTATTCACCTAATTCGTACCAATATACTCGTAAGTTAGAAACGTATTCGCGTGTAACGCGGGAAAACACCAGTTAATAATTCAGCTGTATAGTTTTCAAGTATCAAATGGGTTCAGTTAAAACATACGAACAGTTTCTCAATATTCAGCGCCTCTGGATCAGTTTTCCCCCGAATCCACAAATAACACCCGCGGATATTGACGGTGAGGGTCAATCCTAAGAATTTTTACATCTTAACTTCCGCAATATCTGCTTGTCTCAAAAGCATCCCCGTGAGAATCCGTCGTAGGGGCTTTCAAGGGGGAGGGAGCGTAGGGGGCGCTCGCTCCCACATTCACTCGAGAAAAAAGAGGAACAAAGCAGAAAACAAAGAAGGAAGGAACGGAGGAAAGAAACAGGAAGGACGCTTGTATTTGGCAGTTTTTCCGAACGAAATTGACTCAGGCTGCATGTTAGAAGCATTCAAATTTCGACAATTTTCTGGGGGAAGCCTCTCAGACCCCCTTCCACCCCCTTCCCTCCGTTCGAAGTGGCAGGATCCACATGTGATCAGTTATAGTTTAATTCTGTTCATGGTTCGATCCTGATGACTGATGAGGCTCTAAAAAAAGGTCGCGACAAGGACCCTTCCAGCACCTAATAGTTGGAATTTTTAGAAAAAGCTATAGACAAAGAAGATAAAAAGGATATGGAAGGATCCTATCGGTGGAAGCAAAAGGGTTGCAGTGGACAAAGGAGGTAAGTAATAGACTAACTAACGGCAACTCACGAGAGACCCTATAGTTCGTCCATCATTTTCTCCCTCGGTCTATAAGAATCACCCACTTTAAAGAATAGGATCGCTCCCTCACTCCTTATGTCTTCTTTGTCTATAGCTTTGTCTATCAATTTCAATAAATCAGCGCGCAAAGCGAAACTCAATTTCTAGAAACCCCTTATCGTATTTACCTTTTTCCCCCCTCTTTTCTTCCTTTTTTCCATGAGATTATGAGAGAATTCTTCCGGAAACTTAATCCATCAATCAGTATCAAAAGCTCATAAAGTTTATATTTTGGAGCCACCTCCACACCTGCAATTCTTTTACCGAAGAATAACTAATACCGTTGCCACCTATTAGCGGACTTGCAACATTTACGGAGGATACACGCTATGCATCTGTGCAGGAAGAGCCGGTAATAACACCGTCCCTCCGACGTGAGGTGGTATCTTAATTTTAACGTGAACTCTTTCGTCCATATAATTCCATACATTTCAGGTCTCACATGGAAGTAGAGATACGCCCTTACGTCAAAGGGCAACGATAATTGTCTCTGAAAATTGCTATGAATGAGTTGCAGGAATGAGTTGACCTTTTGGGAACAGAATTCAACGTTGTCAAGTCGGATACTAAAATTACCTCTCTCTTTGTAATGATATCCTGTGCGATCGTAACTTAAGTAATAATGCATGCAGAGCAATTTTACAAAAAAAGGGGGGAAAATGGTATTTACTTTGATCCTGAATTCAAAACTCTTTGAGTGGAGCAAGATAGGCACAAGCAATGCTTCATCGTAAGCATTGTGATAAACAATAACATTAAATTTGTAACATAATCGGGTTGTGTTTTGCAATAAGGAACTAAGAGCATTCCGATGTTGCTAGGAATGTGTAACTTACATTCTTTGCAATAAGACTACTGAAATCATTCAAAAAACTAAACTTACAAAGGTAATTTTCTTCTCGAGTTTAAAGTTTATTGGTATTAGAGATAAAACTTGTCTAAAAGTAAAAAAAAAAGATGCACAATCTTAGCGACATTGGAATGTTTTTGGTTCCTTTTTGCAAAATGTACCTATTCCAAATTGATTTCCATCGTTTTTCTTTAATTTTCTATTTTCATACATTGGAATGGTAAAACCGTAAAATGAATTTAAAAATAATTTTCGTTTTCAAACCTGTGAGTTCTTGGCATGGTGATCAGATACTGCAGAATCTCTCATTGCTGGAATACTCTTACATCTTAAATGTTCAGTGACTGGAGAGTGAGTCAATTCTTTCAAAATGTCCCCCATAGTAGTTGAAGGTTGCCTCATGAATCGATTTTTCAAAATTCCTCCTCGGACAGAGGGTTTTTCAATTTTTTCCTGGGAAAACAATTAATTTTGAATGTGGTTTAGAATCAGAACCCAGGTCGCGTGAAAATTTCTATGGTTATCCAATAACAAATTGAGGATCTCTTGTCTTACACGTAAAATAAATCAAATTTCAAAGCATATCAAAAGTTTTGTTACAAACACCAAGGAATTCCTGTCGGAAAAGTAGGCTTTAAATGATTCCTGAACTATGCTCACATCTGGCGTTTATACTCTAAATTTGATGGAACTATTGGGTTGTGCACGAGATACTTACAATTTTCTAGCTCCAATTTTACAATAGGATGTATTTCTGCCAAACGGAACTATGTGCATTATGACGTGAGTCTCGTTACGCATATATTCTTATAGGTCTCAGGGCTCATGTCTCAACGCACACAGTTTCTTTGGGAAGAAATACGTCCAATACATAGGTGTAGGGTTTCCCCTGTGGAAAATTCCAAGGTATATTGAAAAAGAATAAGTCCAAGAGAATTTTTAGGTTTATCTCCTTCCCTAGTTGAAGCGCTGAGTACAGAAAGGGCATTTCTTGGTTGCGGTATCTCACGATCTCTGTTTACGCTTCAGTCACTATAATTACCTATGGAAAATTACCGAATTTACTCATAAATTTAAAATGCTGAAAACTGAAAATTTCAGAAAATTCACATAATAGTTTCTCCTCTAAAATATAATTTCGTGGTGGAGATTCTGAAACACCGCAACCAAGAAATGCCCTTTGGACGTATTTTTGTCAAACGGAACTATGTGCATTATGACGTGAGCCCTGTTATGCATGTATTCTTATGGGTCTCAAGGATCATGTCTGAATGCACATATTTCTGTTTGACAAAAATACATCCAATTATAAGGAAGCACAAATCTTCATTTCAAAATTAGCTTGTTTACACACATCATATCATAAACAACTCACCGTGCGATTTTTGGATGACCAATTCTCTGCAAATAATGTGTTCTGCCCCACCACAAACGGTCCATCGTAGCCTCCGGCCAGATTTCGAATGGGCTCGAAAAGATCTTTACTGGCACCGGCAAATTCCTCTCGACGCTCATCATACTGTAAATCTTTTTCTAGAGGATTCGTCTTGTCCAGACGGTTAGAGGTTAGTTGAGTCTCACAATCAGTGGATTTCTGAATGTCACCGGTCTGTTCGGGAGCGGTTTTGGACAAAAATAAACCATCGCAGACACCAACAGTTTCTAATAAACGAGTCAGGTCAGTTCCCCTATCATACGAGCTTTCACCCTGATCTGACACTCCAGAGGGGTGAGGAAACTGGTCGCCCAATTCATGAAATACCCGTTTATTACTCACGATCTTTAAATTTTCAGGCAGCTTAAGTGATGTCATTGACTGGGAGTCACCATTATTCGTCTCGCAAGCGCTTTTATTTGTTGTAGACTGGGAAAGGAAAATAGTTTTCTCGACCTCATCTGGCGTCCGCTCGTCCAACATCGTTGTTTCGTCGGCATCCCCCACTTTTCTCCCAGAACATGCATACTCTAAGTCATTTTTTAGGTGTCTCTCACGAAGTCCCGCTAATTGTGGCTCGTCGAAATATGTCGGCAAAGCGTACTCAAAAAAATTCGGAACTAAATTTTTAGCGCGGGTCTCACTAGACGCACAATATCCCGCAGTTAGGTCAGAGGTGCCGCCGCGAAGTTTTTTTGAAGTATCGAAAAGGAGCTTTGAAGGAACTGATTTTGACCTTTTCCGAGTTAGTTTCCTCCGAATTTTAACACGCGTTTTTGTCGATTCAGCCGACCTTTCACTGATTTCTCCGGACCGATCGCTGAAGATTCTGGATTCACTCGCAGAGGATTCAATTTTTGGGCTCTGAACAGCGCTGTCTTCCAATTCGGCGTTCCTTTCCTTTCCAACAGACACATCTGAGCCACCGCAAACATCACCCTGTATATAAAGTGGCTTGCTCACGGTGTATGTGCTATCCGTCCGGTCTGAGAAGACATCCGCTCCCTCTGTCTCTGGCATTGCCTCTGGGAACACCTCCTCAGGGGAGGATAAAACTCCTGCGGGGGGTGAATGGTCAAACGGAGTCTCCAAGCGGTTTCTATGGAGAGCGATAAGGAGCCGAATCAAGTAATTATTTCGGCGCTTCTTTGCCTCGCGGCTGGTGTAAAGTTTGCTGCACAACTTTTCGAACCATTTTTGACACTGCTTCAAATCTTTGTGACAAACGAGTTTATCGGCAAGAGACAAGTAGAAGAGGAACTCTTGGTCTAGGGCCGAATCCGAACGGTGACTATCCGAGTCTGACATCAGAGGTCTACTAATATTTGAAATTTTGAATTTCTTCAAGCACGCGTTTTTCGGTGTAATGTTTTTGTCACTGTAGAGCAACTTTGTATCATTATTATATTTGAAACCATAGCAACGGAAAGAAATATCCGATGAATCATCGCCAATCTGAGTTAGAAAAGAAGGGGGAAATATTGAAATTTAATCATTCATGCCTTGCCACTGATCTCCATGCACTTCTTATATACTGCCGTACTAGGGAAAAACGCCGTATGAACATTCGAGAGTTGCCAAATTTCCTTCGATTAAATGTTTATTCTGGAGGAAAATTGTGAATACTTTTCCTTGAAATTTTCTGACACTGTAGATCAAATTACAAACAAAACTATCTGAGAAACTGCCAGAAAAATATTCAAAAACGTCCCTGAAAATTAATGATCTGCTAGGAGAAGTTTGGCAAGGCCAGAAGGCTCATACGGCGTTTTTCTTTAGCACGACAGTATGGGTAGTCTAGATTCAAGTAGATTCGTTTTTGAAAAACAGCAAAATTCGAGCCGAGGGCTTTGAAACTTGCGTCAAGCTCACCGATTGTTTTGCTCGTTATATCGCAAATTCCCCGCTTGCATTTTTGTTTTCGTTTTTTAAGCCCCTTTTCTCCCCCTCCGCGAGCGAGACGCACTTGCGTCGCCCGAAACACAATCGGCACCTCACCGGGGCGGGGGAGGGGGGTGGTGATTGTTGCCAAACAAGGTGATTTGTTGGAACAGGTGCGCGGAGATCCGCGATAGCGATAGCGATGAGTAACTTGGTGGTGCATAGCGTGCACATCGCGATTCGCGGATTCGAGCCCGAGCGAGCGAGCGCGGCTCCGCGCGTCAGTCGCGAGTGTCTCTGCGTTCGGCGTCGAGCGTCGAGTTTCCAGCGTCGCGGCGCTATGGAACCCACCGCGGAGTTCTACTTCAACCTCGCCGATCGCGAGAAGAAAGGCTTCATCGTCAAAAGGGATATGCAGGTGAGCCTCTATTTTCCCCCCACCAGATCCGCGATATCATTCTACACACTGGAAAAAATAATATGCTTTTTTAGCACCTAGGATATCAAAAATGTGCCTGGTGATCTCAATATGCTGCCTTTACTGCAACCGCAGTTAAATTTACATCCTTTGAATGCAAATTCAACTGCGTGGGCAATCAAGGCAGCATCTTATTATCATCAGACACATTTTTGACATCCTAGGTGCTAAAACAGCCTAACATTTTTACTTTCTCGCTCCCCTAGGGTAGAGAGGAAGTATTGTCATCCTCCAAGAAAAATAAAAAGTTGAAATTTCATCATTTCTAGACGTTTTAAGATCCCAGGCGACAAAATAACCATACGTGAAAAAATGTGTGTCCGTCCGTCCGACGTCCCCCAAATCTGTGTACAGCGATATCTCAGAATCTATGTGTTCGATTTCATTCAAAATTGGCACAGAACACCATATCTATGGTCTCCTTATGCACGTCAAACGATTTTGGGGTACGCTCAAATTGGGGGGGGGGGCTAGTTTTCAGTGCCCATGAATGGATCGCATTTTACGAAAAGGAACCAGCGCGTTTACAGTCTTGTAAAATGTTCCCTCTTCATAATTATCTAAAAAAATCTCCCAGAATAGCAAATAGTTTTGAATTTATAATTTTTAATTATTAATAATAAATTCATAATTTCAAAGAAAAATCATTGTGTAAATTTCAATACTGTACATTAAATTAAGTATTTTTAAAAGAAGATGAGGAAGTTGCACGATTTTGAAAACATTGTAATCGCGCTGGTTCCTTTTGGCTAAATGCGAACCAAATTAGCTGCCATGATTCGTCTTTCTCCTCACGAAATAACGTAACTACATTTAAATGTTGCCAAATTTCCCCTCAAAAATTGCATTGTTTACAGAGGAATCTTAAACATTGCTAACTATATTTTCGCCGGTATTTCTTCTGACCTTCAGCAAAAATTAGACAAATCGTGGACAAAAATTGTACAGAACATTCTTGTAGAAAATGTAATTGTTTGATCCAAATTTTGTAATCTGAGGATGGAGTTCCGTTCCTCCGTTCGGGAAATAATGAATTGAAGGGCCTGGAGGACAAAACTCATAAGGACAGTTTTGGCTATTTCGAGACATAGGTGTTTTAAAGTGTCAAAATAGCATGAAGCTTTATGACAGAAAAAGCTCAAACTCATTTTTGATGTGTAATGAATTTTTCTCATAATATATTTTAAGATCACTATTAGTTGAAATCATCAATAGCTCAATGTTTTTAAAAAACCGCACTTGCAACCATGCAATTTGCCTTGTCCTCAAATCCCCTCAATTATCAAAGTTATTGCGTTTCCTACGAACTCTCAAAGTAGTATTCATATTCTTTCCTTAAGCCAGCTCCTCTCCTTACGGCGGCCCAAAAGGGCCTCTGGACAGGATAAGAATTAAGGCGCAACGCTATATATTTTCTCGTCAAAATTTATGAGGAAAAAGAATCACATAACCGGAATTCTGAAAATCAACCCCTGAACAAAATTTACGTGTTTTCGAGTAACATATATTTAATGGCGAGAATATACAAAATACGTCATTTGTATAAGTTAACTTCCATGTGATCTGTGTTAAAAAGACTTGTTAATATCTCGTTCAAGAGTTGATTTCTTAACTTCTTGTTGTGTGAATTGTTCAATAATTTGAAGAAAAAATATGTGACGTTTTTCTCTAGTTTAGACTCTTGTCTAGTCACCCGTTGTTAACATTGTTATCAAGGGAGGTCGAACATGAAAGAGACAATTTTACGGAGCTTGAGCAAAGCTCATAGATTTGACTTAAGAAATAGATCGATCCTCCACAAAGGATTACAACGCTTTGCCAGTACAAAAATAGAAGCTACGAAAGAAAATATATCGCCGCTTTTTCAATATTTATAAATTAGGTTCATACCTACCCTAAAATTGTCAAAATCTTTGAATCTTTTTATCTGTAATTCATATTTTTCCGCGGCAAATCATTATAATCCCATCAGGTAGGGATCTACCTTTTCGGTAAAACTGAAGAATGTTACTGATCTTTCAAAAAAATTGTCTCTTACGATGCTACGTTTAAGGTATCCTTAGACTTCTCTTAATCACGAGGTACGAACGAAGGAAATCCTTGATTTTAGCCTCTCCACTATTAGCGCCTTCTAATATCGACAGCCGTAAAATTGAAGGAGTAATTGAAATTACATGCAGATAAAAATGTCTCGATGTAGGCATCTTTTAATTTAGCAAGCCATCTAACAAAATATACAAAAACTAATTTATTTTATCGACAAGAACTTGAAGTACACCTGAGTACTTATCGAAAACATTGACACACCTTGCGTTAGACCTGTGTATTGGTTTTGGGCAAAGCGACGGGAGAAAATATTGACTGAATAATTATCAAATCAATCTCAAACAAGTACAAAAGATATTTCCATATCTATCTAAGGGAGTATACCCTCATATTTTTGAGCGTTTCATTTTTTTCGAATGAAAAGCCATTTCGATAATTAATTCTACAGAGGCATATAGCTTTTGACGCTGTAATTATTTGCAGATCCTTTTCCAAGGCTGGGTTTTTCAGTCGAAACTTTTTAACAAAAAGCTCAAACCTTTTTGTGCTCATGACGTGCATGCGGCGTAGTATTTTTCTGAGGGGCCCAGAAAAATATCGGCTACAGTGACGTTATCTGTGACGTGCATGAACACGATGTTAGCTCCAGCTCCAAATGATCTCACTATTCATGCGTTTCAAAACTCGGGGTACTAGTAAGGGGCTTGAGACGCGTTCGAAGCTTGTATGAATGCGAAAATGAAATAAGTATGCATCTGAAGGAAATATCAATGGCCAAAAACTTACTACTGACTAACTATGGAGCCCCCGTAACAGCGCAGTCTTATACTACCGTGCTAAGGAAAAACGCCGTATAAACATTCGAGAGTTGCCAAAATTCCCTTGATGAATCATGTATTTTTGACGACATTCATGCACATTTTTCTTTGAAATTTTCAGATATATTAGATTAAATTGCGTANTGTTGCATATCGCCGAACTTCCCTCCTATGGTCGCACAGTTGAAGTAAACTGATCGACGAGTAGCGCGTTAAAACACATCAAAAAAATCGCTGAGAAATAGGTAACTTCGTGGTCTCTTCGCGGGAAATTGAGCCACTCGAAAAATGGCACATACATGGCTACTGGGGTAAAAAACAGTGTAGATTTCGAATATCACATTGGTTTTCCAAAAAAAAAAAATTTAAAATTGAGGTTTTGGCCAGGTTTTTCGGTCAAATACCACAGTGTGCGGCGTTGGGACTGTGGATTGGTTGTGGGCAAGATGACGGGAAAAATATTGACTGAATAAATATCAAATCAATCTCACACAAGTGTAAAAGATATTTCCATACCTATCTAAGGGAGAATACCCTCATAACTTGGAGCGTTTCATTTTTTTTCGAATGAAAAGCCATTTTGATAATTAATTCTACAGAGGCATATCTCTTTTGACGCTGTAATTATTTGCAGATTTTTCCAAGGCTGGGTTTTTCAGTTGAAACTTTTTAACAAAAAGCTCAAACCTTTTTGTGCTCATGACGTGCATGCGGCGCAATATTTTTCTGAGGGGCCCAGAAAAATATCGGCTACAGTGACGTTATCTGTGACGTGCATGAACATGGTGTTAGCTCCAGCTCCAAATGATCTCACTATTCATGCGTTTCAAAACTCGAGGTACTAGTAAGGGGCTTGAGACGCGTTCGAAGCTTGTATGAATGCGAAAATGAAATAAGTATGCATCTGAAGAAAATATCAATAGCCAAAAATGAAAAACTTACTACTCACTAACTGTGGAGCCCCCGTAACAGCAGTCTTATACTCAAGACATGAGAATTGTAGATAAGAAAGCTTTGGATGAAACGCGCTTTGTTTCTTCGTTAATACATAAATAATTGTACCTATTGTGAATGAGCGAACAACTAAACCTGCGTCTTTCTCATTCTACCCAAATCCTCCTTGCATCAAATTTACATTTACATTTTTTTATTTCTCTTTACTTGATAATTTTTCTGATTTGGGAAGATGAATACATATTCACTCAGTAGCAGACAAGCGGCAAGTGTTTTCCGTCAATTTTGGGCTAAATTTACATGCGAAAATACGTTTTATTCATATAACTCGGTTTGCGACGTCGAAAACTTCCTGTCATACTTTATTTTTTAAACGGAAAACTACTCAACGGCAATTATTTGAAACTTCTGTGATTTTTCCTCTTTGTAGGAGTAAAAAGCTGTGAAAACTTCAAGGAATGATGTCAATTTATTCTCCTTTAAAAAAATAACATAGATAAGGAAATTTTCAGACACCACAAACGAGATATCCACGGTGAAACTACCAAACCACGTATCTCGTTTGCGGTGTTTGAAAATCTACGCTCGCATTTTATTTTTTTAAAGTAGACCAAATCAATACCATTCCTTGAAATTTTCACAGAATTTTCTCCGCACGAAGAGGAAAAATCACAGAAATATTCAAGACTGGACGTTAAGTAGTTTTTCATTTAAAAAATAAAGTATGACAGGAAGTCTACGACGTCGCAAACCGAGATACGTGGTTTGGTAGTTTCACCGTCGATATGTGATTAGGGACTTACGCCGTCGTCGATATTAACTGTTAAAGCAGCAACTTTAGAATGCAGCCGTCAGTCCTTCCCCTTCTCCCCTGGACTGAGATATTGACTTTTTTCAGTGCTAATTTCATGCATTTATTTTATGTTGTTAATTCCTTTTATACTTCATGTCTTCAAAGAAGAACATCTGAACGTCCGTTTTTAAAACTTCGTGATATTTCTTCTCTGTGCCAGGCTACTTCTGAAAAAATCTTTAAAGAATGATGTTGATTTGTCCTCCTTTAAAAAATTAAAATGTTGGCAGAAACTTTTTAACACCGCAGACGAGATTCGTGGATTGGTG